CCAGGAGCTCAGGAAGAGAGATGCATTTTTTGGAGCAGCTTCTTTCATCTCTGGGTTTTCTTTTGGCAATTGAATAGCAAAGCTGGGTCGGTGCCTGGCTTACAGAGGTCACAACATACTGAGCAGAAGGGCATTGTGTTTTAGGCCGGTTGTTAGGGACTTCTCTGGCACAGGGAGGAAAAACCTGCCAGGCTTGATCTGCTCTTCAGGAATATGGGAATTACCTGGAGGAGGGAGCAGTCTGTTCCCTGCTGAGATCTTAGTGTACCAAGGGATGTGACAGAACAGGCCAAGTGTCCCAGCTGCTCTGCAGTAGCTTTGGTCATTATAGCAGAAGCTGGGTGCTTTTACAAGCCTTTTCTCCATGTAAGAGCACCCCAACAAATACTTGGTCAGAAAAACCCATCAGCAATGTGCCTCATATCATCTGAGTGGGGAGAAATCTCTCCCATTCCACCTGAAACCCAGTTTTGAAATTCTGGACTGTTGTTACTCGTTAACAGAAAGGGTGAAGCATAGCTGTGTGTTTGGTCGCTGACTCCTCTCATTGGCTTGCAGTGTTGTAACAGCCTTATATAAATTAGATAGCTGCTGTCCTGGAGTGATGCTTCCAGCTGCATAGATTTTGGCCAATGAAGGACTGCCACCAGCCTGCTGAAGGTACATTTGACATCTTTTTCATTACTTTATTTTCACTGAAAGAGAAAATCAGTTGTAAGTTCAACAGGAATTATCCTGTCTGCTTTATACAAACACTGTGATGCAGTGTAGCAGGCTGCCTGTTAGCTGAGCCAACCAATCCATGGGGAACTGGGAGCTTTGGATGGGTTTCAAGGCTGGATATGTAAAATACGTGTGTGGCTGAAGGCTGTGCTGTTGTGTGTCTGTATTTCTTGAATAACAGTCGTATGTAAAGATCATTGCAAAGTCTGTGTTCCTCTGTGTCTTCTCAATTTGTGCTGAAACAAAACTGGTGATTTCTTTCGGAGTAGTTGTAAGTGGGGAGCCTCACAGCCCTGTCTCTGCACCTTCTTAAACGGGAATAAGAGCTTAAACTCTGATCTCTCCCCCTCTCACTGTTGCCAGATGTAGAAAATGCAGATGCCAATCTTAAGATGGGATAATTTAAACTAGTTCCTGTTTGTCATTTCGAGCTGGAGAAGTAACCTGCAATAGAGAGGGTTTGGATACAGGTTTTTTCCAGCTGATTATTGCCAGTTGTGTGTGTAGAGGTCAGGGACTGTGGGTTTTGTCAAAAGTAGGTAGTTGATAATGTGGGACTGCAAAATACATATTGTGACTTATTGTAAGGAGAATTACTTTAGAGAAATTGAAGTAATAGATTAATGATGAAATATAATTTGTTAGTGTTTAATATCTAGAAAGAAATGGGGATATTTAGTTCTAAGTGTGAGCTCACTACTCACAGTATTTTTTTTTCATTTGGGTTAAGAAATAACTCGGGGCTGGTAGATGGGTTTTCCTTCTTTGTAGCTTTCTGTAAACTCTACCATGTATGCTGCAAAGCCAAGTCCTGGTGTATTTTAGTTCTGAGAAGCTTTGCTATCTCCTGGCACGGCGATCCCGGTGTCACTTGGCTGTGACAATGCCTTTCTGAAGGGTGACAGGGAATTCATTTTCCCAGGGGAACTGCTTGGCCACAGGCTTAGAGCAGCTCTAAGCACAGGGATGGTCAGCGCTGCGTGTCCCCCCCCCGGGGCTGTGGTGTCCCCCCGGGGCTGTGGTGTCCCCCCGGGGCTGTGGTGTCACCCCCGGGGCTGTGGTGTCCCCCCGGGGCTGTGGTGTCACCCCCGGGGCTGTGGTGTCCCCCCGGGGCTGTGGTGTCCCCCCGGGGCTCTGTTGTCCCCGCTCTGTCCCCGGGGCTGTGCCGGGGGCGGTGCCTTTGCTCGCGGCAGCCACCAGGGGGCGCCCGTGCAGTGTCCGCCGAGGGGCCAGGGCGCCGCCTGGCGGCGCGGGCGGTCCCGGCGGCCGCGGGAGCCTGAGCGGCGTCCCCTTGATGTCCCCAGGATGTCCCCGGAGTGTCCCCAGGATGTCCCCGGAGTGTCCCCGGAGCCTGCGAGAGAGCTGCCCGAAAACGCTCCAGAAGCCCCTGCGTCACCGCTGGCTGTGCCCATGTCTCGTTGCGGTGCCGCGGATCCCTCGTGGCGCTCGGGCACACGCAGGGCCTGTGTGTGGGTTTGTGGGGAGCTGAGTGCGCTCGGGGTGCTGAGGGCGTGGGCACCTGAGAGACTGGAAAATCATCTTTCCCCGTTCCAAGTGTGCTGCCAGAGAGATGGTGGAAGGATGGGAGGAAGAGATGTTGCGTGTTTTATGGCCGTTTTATGGGCTGTCAGATTAAAAGGTGATATCTTTACTAGGGAAACGAGATACATGGAAGTTACTTGTATGTATTATGAAACTTGGATTATATGGCTGCCATAAGATACAGCGTTGGATTTCTGTAGGATCAAGCAGAAACCTTGGTTCAGTCTCTTTTATTTCTCCCTACCTCTAACTATAATTACCATTTGCTGTTGCCGTAAACCCCAGGTTTCCTGTCTTGTCAGTCAGTTGTTTAGAGAGTGAGTATAACTTTGTCACTTGGCTCAAGCACGTTATTTCCCATTCTGCAGTTCGTTTGCCCTTCCCCCTGATGTTTTGCCTCAGGAGAGAAGTGGTTTCTCAGGTAAGCTCTCTGCTCACCATGGCCCTGAAAGCAGATGCTTTGTGTAAAAGTCTTCCCAGGAGTAAAGGCTTGTTCATGGTTTCCCTGTAGCAAACAAAGCTCTTCACCCGCAGGCATCAGCTGTGCTCCTCCAGCCTTTGCATTGATACAGCAACTGATGACAGTGAGATTGTGCAGAAGGTGATCTCTGTCATTCATTGGGAATATAACGATCAACACTCGCTCTGTCATTTCCCAGGAAGTGAATGTAGTGCCCTTGTAAACCATGTTTTGAAATGAGACCTCAGGAGTAGCCAAGATTTCTGTATTTGCTTTCTCCGTGTCCTTGATCAAATAGCTCATTACTGCACTGAGGTTTAAAAACAAACCGCAAAACAACTAACCCTTGAATACAACATAATCACATAAGCTTGTCATCAGCTAAGCTGAACTCTTGGCCTCACAAAAACAAAGGCTAGCAGGTGCCTCTGAACACCCCTAATGTTATTACAGACAAACCCTTAACTGAAGTTTTGTGCAGGTGCCACTGGTTTGAATCTGCCTCAGCAGAAAGGAATTAATTAACTGGCTCTATACCTGGTGCTTTGAGGAGGAGACTTAGAAACGTGGTCATTCACCTTACAGACTTCTTTAAAATGCTGTTCTTATATGAACAACTTCAGGTCAGTGTTCTTGGCTCAAGGCAGGTGTGTGATCAGACTTCACAAGATCAGTTCTTGTGCAGGTGTGGATTTGCAGGAAGGAAGTACAAACGTTGTTTCGAGAGGCTGGAAGGATTTAATAAGTTTTCTACTTGATGTATGTAAAACAAACCTGAGAAGTGTGGTTTATAAATTGGTATTCCTATTAATCTCCCCTGTCTGTTAATATTACATCTGTTGTTGAGCCTCTTGGCTTTACTGGAGGCATTTTCAGGAAAGCTGGAAGATGTTGGTGTTTGCCTTGCTGCCATCACAGGAGAGCGAGGGGTCACATCCTGCTGCTGGACTCTACTCTGGAGTTTGTCATGTGTGTGTTGAAACATTCTGTGTGTGCACAGGAGACAGGCTCTTGGGATTAACCTGGGACAGAGGTTGAACTGTTCCTGCTCACGCCTCTTTGGGCAACTGTTGTAAGTAAACACACGGTTGACAGAAGAAACCAAGAAGCTTTTAAGCTTATTCAAAGCCTCCCTCTCTTTGCTCCCTGTGTTCTGACCCTTGCAATATAGTTCCTGTAGCCCCTCTGCCCATCCCCACATCAGCTATGGACCCAAAACAAAATCAGGAAGAAAATCTTGGGTGAAAATATAGTGTAGGGCACCTACAGTGGAAAACTCTAATTGGTTTTGGAGAGAGGGAAATAAGTTAGAACAGAGGGAAAAAACAGAGGAAACAAGCAAACATGGTTCTGGAAAAACAATACTCACTCTTCCCAGAGGTGTATTGCCAAATGTCTCTGAGAACTGATTTTTTTGCTGTTTAGAAGGGTACATTTTAACTTGTAATAGAACAGAAAAACTAAAAATAATCCTCAGGTGGTCAGAGTCTGGTTAGTATTAAAAAAGAAAGTATGTACTGGCCTGCACTTGTGTTTAGGCCAGCGTCATAATAATGGAGTGATTAATAATGGAAGTGTGTATCATGCTTCACTACCATATTTTCATTGTGTTGCGTTTATTTTCTGTAAAATATATAGAGAGGTGTATATATGTGAAATACTGAGCTTTTTTAGGGCTTTGCTCAGGCCAGTTAATGAAGTGGGTTTCCCCAAGCTGTAAAGCTGATAAAGGTGATATGGGGAGGTGACAGCTGGGTGTCGTGTTCAGTCAAACCACTGCTCCCACTGCAGCTTCCCAGGGCCATTTGTGACAGCATTTCTTTTGGGAGCCAAATAGGATGTAGGGGAACCTATGATTTGTTTATGTTTTTCTGCATTGCTATTAATTTAGCCTTCAGGCCAAAACAGAGTTTAATTGGAAAAATGTGTCACTCAATGCATGAATTAAAACACACTGCACGCTCCCTGGGCGTTCTATATTTAGGTTTTGTTGAGGTTTTTTAAAAAAAAAATAAAAAATTGCTTTTCAGAGGCAGCGTGGTGTTCCGTGCAGCCAGAGCAGCAGCAGCAGCACGGAGCGGAGTCACCTGCTCGCAGCACGAGCCTCCCCGGGGCCTGAACCTTCCCGCGGGGGTCTCGTTGTCCCCGGAGCGGCTTCCCCGTGCCCGGGGGGCAGCGCGGGGCTGCGGCTTCCCCCGCCGGCCCTGCCCCGGGGGCGGCCCCGGCGCGCCCCGCCCGCCGCCGCCGCTGCGGTGGGAGCCGGGAGCGGCCGAGGATGGCGGCGGCACCGGCGGCGCGGGAGCTCACGCAGAACCCTCTGCAGAAGACGTGGGAGCCCTACGATAACGGGCTGCCCGCGGGGCACAGCGCGCAGCGCGGCGGTGAGCGGCACCCGGGGGGCGAGGGGATGGAGCCGAGCCCCGTCCGCGCCGGGCGTCGGGCACTGCCGGGGCTCCGGGCTGGGTCCCCCGCGCAGGGTCCGGCCCCGAAGCTGCTGGCTCTGCGCCCGGCGGAAGGCAGGCAAACCGAGCTGGAATGAATGTGTTCTCTTGGTTGCTTTTGTTGGTGTTTTGCGGGTTTGTTTGGGTTTTTTATTTATTAGACGCGCTAGTGGCAGGGTGGGTTTATATTCAGTATATTCGTCTCGGAGAGAGGCCTAAAAATGTCACAGTGTTCTTGTTTTGGTTGTTGTGGTCTTTTGTGGGGTTTTTTTCCCTTTAAGACCAATGCTGTATCAGCCCATCTGTTCTATGAGTTAATGACTTCCCATATTTTGAGGTGCAGCCAACCAAGTCATCAGCCTCCTGAGCCTTTGGCTGTGGCGCTTGTAAACCATAGTTCATTAACAAACTTTGCATCACAGGTTGTTTTTTCCCCCTCTTCTTTTCATTTTCCCCCCTTACTTAAGTAACTGAGGCCCGGTACACGGCAGTTTTGCAGACAAAAGGGGCTTTGTCGTGTAGAATTGTTTGTATTTGTCATGCAAAGAGGCTGTGCTGACAAAGCTGAGGCTCTGCCGGTGTGGCAGGAGTCCATGGGCTGCAGTCTTGTTGGCTCTCTCAGCTCGTGCTTTGGTCCAGCCCTTGCTAAAAAAGAAAATCTCCCCCCCCCAAAAAAAAAACCCCAAAAAACAAACAAACCAAACCCAAAAAAACAACAAAACCCACAACCAAAACAAACAAACAAAAGAAAAAAACGAACACAAACCCCTAACTCTTGTTGTGTGCTGGGCAAGCAGGCAGGAGTGTTTTTCTGTGGGAACTGAATTACTGCAGCATCTGAACCATGGTAGGTTGAGATGAATGCTGAAATAGGAAGAGGGTCAGGAAATGTGTGTAAGTGCTTTATAAACATGCTTAGAAGACTGCTTAATTTTAGCCTTAATGTGGCATCTCTTTTCCAAGCAGAGTAATATCTGTTATAGCTCTGACACAGATACTGTTTTACAAAAAAAATCCTCCAGACCCAAGAACAAAATTGCATGTGAATCATGTCTAATTTGACGATGTACATTGTCTTCTTGGCAGAATTATTTAGCTTCACTTGACTATAAATTAAAACATATTTCACATGCCTGTGGGGTTTTTGTAGGACTCTATAAGTTTAACTCCTAAGACCTTTTATAAATGGAAAAAACCTTTTGCTAGAGGAAGAGATTGCCTTTTTTTTTTTTTTTTTTAATCCTTTTATAGCCCTACCCATGAAAAGTCTGCAGTCATTTGTGATACATAAGAATTACAAACAGCCTGCAAAGGAGCAAAAGTTACTCTTCCTTGATAAACCCATCTATCTTGTTTCAGCAAACTGAGAACATTTCATCATTTTTCTCATGCAAGGGTGTTGCAGACTCCTTTTCCCTAAGGTTTCCATGTATCTTGTGTTGCCCTTTGTTCTGGTGAGGCAGTTTGACCTGTGGGTGCTGTAGCTGTGCTGTGGCAGCTCAGGATGGACTGCCCAGATGGGTGTTTTGGAGCTGTATTGAGCTGAGCAGTTCTAGTTCTTTGCTGCTTCAGGTAGCTGTGTCAGATGTTACTGTTCCAAAAATACCAGCTCAAGATGGAAGTGGTTTTCTTGTCCTCAAAGTATAGCTTTGCAGTGGGAAAAGTGAAATTAGTCACTCTGTTCTGAGTTTCTTGGCCAAACAAGATGAACTCTTTCAGCCTCCCGTGGTTGGTGTTTTTTTTTAATTTTCTGCTTCATGCTGCTGACCTTTATCTGCACTACCTTTAGTCTTTATCCTTCTAGAAGGTGGATGAGCAGAATTGTACACGCTTCCAGTTGAGGACTCAGCAGAATTGTCTAGAAAATAACTTCCTTGGGTTTTTAGTGTGATTTTCTAAAAGTTGTAGCAACTACAGTTGTCTTGGGAGGAAGAAATCTGTTGAGCTGTGCCAAAGTTTAGCTGTCACAGGGCTTTGAAGAGCTGGTTCTTTTAGTCTGTGTGGTACAAGGTCTGCAAGGAGGAGTTGTATCCATTTACAGACTACTGAGCAGGCAGCTTTTACAGCAGGTGGCAGGTGTAGCTGAGGTAACTGTTCTGGTGTGACCTTCCAAAGTCACACCTGAAGGCACTGGATGTTATTGTTATTATATTGTTATTAATAGCTGTGGCTTGCCTTTTGTGGTCACTTGTGAAAAGTTTTGTCTCTGAATAGGTTGAATTAAAGCTGTTCTTGGCATTGGATGTTCAGATTGCTTTAACCTCTGAATCAAGCAGTGGGCTGTAAACATGGACATAAAAAACAAATAACTAAGTAGGCCCCAGTGAAAGTTGTTTGAGGAGGCCAGCAGAGGATGTTTATAATGAGAGATAAATAGTGGACTTCCTGTGGTTAAACATTCCCCCCTCACTACAGATAAATGCTTTGTTTCCCTAGCGCTGCTGGAATTTGGTCATTCTAATAATTGTCGTTTGCTGTTAGTACAACAGTAAAAATGTACATCCAGAAAAAAAAAAGTATTGAATTACTATCTCTGCTCTAAAGAACTCCACTGTTTGAGCACATGCTGCTTGTGCATATTTATGCTCCTAATCCTAGAAACTGAAAACAGGAGAATGAATGAGGTGAGGATGGTGCCTGAGGAGCAGGATGTGTGATGGGATTGTTGCTGTTGGCATCAGAGCCGTAGGAAGCAAAAGGTGACCCTGAGGAAGTGAATGCCAGAGCAGCTCGGAACAGCTAGTGGCACAAGGCTGGCCAGGGAACAAATGTGAATTCTTAATCCTTTGTACCAACGTCATGTTAAGAACTGGTGGTTTGGACAAGAAGAGGAGAAACAGATTAGAAGAGAATGGACTTCTTCAGGTCTAGGAGCAGGTGCTTTTCAGGAAGAACAGCAGGATGGGCAACTCATCCCCATGGGAGGCAAAGGGAGACTGGTGGTCATCAGTGATCAAAGGGATACAATGGATTAGCAGTGGTTAACTTGGATAAGTGATGGGTAAAACACAGGGCTAACCTTACTTGGAAGAGTGGTTGTGTTGGCTTCAAGTCAGAGATATTTCTGTGTGAGCCTCTAAGTAGTACAGGATTTTTGGAGAATGGGCCTTGAACTGAAGGCCATAGAAACTGCAAAGAACACTTTGTAAACTTCGGATCTCTAGCAGTAACAGCTTGATACAAAGAACATCCGTCCTTAACACATTTAAGGAAAAAACAAAACCTAATTCTAGGTCAAAGGAAAGGACAGCTGATAATTTGTTTGGTAGTAAGTGAACCTGGAAAATATCAACTCTTGACTCTAATTTCACAAGATCCAAGAGAGTTTTGAGGGCTGATGAATTGCAGCACAGCTGATCTAGATTGTTCCATGTCCCAGTTTGGTTTCACAACCTTCTTTTGCATTTGCATTATTTCACAATAGAGTCTAAGAGGCAAGAAATAAGCATGTAATTTCTTTTTCCCTGACTGTTAAGTCTTAAACCTTAGAAGAGTAGGCAGTCATAATTTTACTCTTGAGCTGCAACTTGCTGTGTTGTTCTAATGTTTAAGAAATATTAAACTGGGATAATCACCTTGCTTCAGTTGCAGCATTTCATCACATGGCCATTTTCCCTCACTGATTGGGGTTTTGGGTGTGTTTTTTGTGTTCCCTCTCTTTGCCAGTGCTGTTTATAAACATGCACTATTAAATGCTTATATTACAAGCATCTGTTCTAAAGAAAAAACTAACTAAAGTCTTAGGGCATCTTTAGCAAATGATGGTGTAAAACCTATAGGTTTTGTTTTACTCTTCTGAGTGCTTGTTTTCTTCTAACAAAATTAGTGTTGATGGCACATACACAGCTTGGGGCTGTCAGAAACCCTTAGGAGTTAGATATATGAAGCAGTAGTGAGAAATAAGTTTGTTTTCTGGACACTAGACCATGTAGAGCTATTTCTGGAGATAAACTGGACAATCCAGTGGGTAAGGAGTGGAGAGAAAGCTGCCCTTGAGAGTCTGCCTTGGCTCTAACTCACACCCCTATAACTCACATGGATTTTTTTTTTTTAATATAAACTGAATGATGGTGAGGTGCTTTGGAAAGGGGAATTGAACATTGTGCCACTGGGAAACGAGAAGTTACATACATGTAACTTGTGGTATGTTTGGCTATTTTTATCGGCCTACTTCCTCATGCCAAACTTACTTACATTTCTTCAAGGGAAAATGTAAGCCATGAGACACTGATGTTGAAAATACCTTTGTGGGAATGACTATTCATCCCTGCTTGCAGCTAGTGTTGGCAATATTCTGTTGAGAAAGATGTGGTTTAGATAAAATGAAAGATAACTAATTTTTTGGGGGTATTTGATACATCCTCAGAACTTTGCATTCTGTTCAGGTCTTAATGTTTTTATTCAGCTAATGAACAAAATTAAGCCTTGTTAATTACACAGGGTCATAAGGGAGGAAATAAAGTCTGCTGTGCTGATTCTTTGTGTGTTGAGAATGCTACACTGAGGTACACAAGAAGTGAAATAGCTGCTTTGTGTGCTTTTATTCTTACACCTGCTGTTTAGCTGTGAGTGGGCTGTTTTGGCCAGTACAGGTACCTTTGGCTTCTACTTGCCAATGCACAGGTGTGTTTGTCACTAAGTGCCACCTGTGCAGGTGGTATGAGGCTGCAGCCACTGGTGGCCATCTAATCCAGGACACCAAACATCTTTTTAGTGCCCTAAATTTTAGACTATGAACTGCCACCCTCTTGTTAAAGACAAGCACTGAGGGGTGACATGTTCTGTAGTACCATGCCCTGTGTAGTGTTTCCAGGGCTGTGGCATTTTGCAAAAGCAGAGTATTTGGGATCATTGGCATCAGTGGTGTTCCTCCTTACAAAGACAGGGGCATCTGTCTTTAAAAGCACTCTTGGTCAGCCTGGCACCTAACAAGAGTAGGATTGCCACTTGTTTGATTGGGATATTTCTCTTGGTTTCTGCTCTGTGGTTATCCACCAGAGTGATTGGAATAACAGGGAGATGTGCCTGTTAAACTGGACACACGAGGTTCTAACAAAGGCAGTTTTGCTAGTTTTGTACTTTCTTTGAGGAAATACATGTAAAAATGCAGGTGGTAGCAGACTGACACACTGAATGTCCCTTGTGTATGTTGTAGTTGTGTTGATCTAGTTTGCTGCTGGGTTAGAAAACCTATTGCAACCCATGCAGGCAGTAGGACTTCATTTAGAAATTTAGCTTTGGTATAATCTGTGAAGCAACCATTTTAAGTGGTTTGCAGGTCTCTTCATGGAAGCTTCCCAGCCTTTAGTTTTACTCCAGTACAGGTTTATCATTACATTACTAAAAGATAAATGTTCCGTGAGAAGGTGAAATTTGTATGGCTGACCCTAGCAGTGGAAAAAGGGAAAAAAAACAGGAGGTGCTCTAAGAATAAAAAGTTGTTAAATTCTGCTTGGAATGGGTAGAAAAGCCTGTTACAGCACAGTTTCTTGCAGAGCAGGAGGAGCTGGGGCAGTGTACAAAGCCTTTCTGTACAGATGCTGGTTTGTCTTTTACAGCTCTTCACTGCTTGTACTGGAAAGTTGTTTGAAACTTCAGCTAGGTGTTTCAGGTGAAGGACCTTTTGAACAGGCTTTGAAGAAAAATGTCTTCTCTTAAAATTTCTGGGGGCCCAGGGGTTCCTCTCATCTCGGTATTTTATTGTACTGTCCTTAAAGCTGGAGGCAAGGTTGTTAAGCTTAATAAGCACTGTGCTCTTGGCACTCCACAGACTTTGTTGTTTCCCTAGAGACTTCCTTCACCCTCTTGGAGAGGGGGTTCACAGCCTGAACTTATGACAAAGAGGAAAAGAAATTATTACCTTTCTTGTTTATAGGCTTCTGTACAGAGGAACTTACTCTGAGGGCTTTTATCAGTGTCCTTCCAGACCCTTGGTCATGTTGGTCAGGATGGATCTGTTTTGCTTTGCATCTAGTTCCCTGTAGCTTTCATTACAGGGAGTAGTTGGCTCTTCCATGGATTTGAGGTTGGATACCATTTTACCTCCTCTCGCTCATGGAGAGTGGTGTATTTTTAAATTTTTTTGTTTTGTGTCTTTCAATGTGCATTTTAAAACAGAACATCTGCTTTTGCTAATCTGCTTGTTCTTTTTTGATCTGTTATGTGAACTATCTGCACCAGATTTCTGCAAGTGACTTTGTGGGATGGGATTTTGGGAATCTTGAGCAATCACAGTCCTTTGTACAACTGTTCAGTTATGCCTTACAGGTAATCACTGAGATTTGGTCTTTTGGAGTGAATTGACGTCTCCTCTGTTACGGCACTGAGGAAATTGATACATGTGTGGATTGTGTAGAAATCAGTTCCCTTAAAAATAGGGGGTGGAGGGAGCTGGTGGTACCTGGATAACTTTAATGTCTTCTTTCCTTTTAGGCAGTTCCTTATAGCTGTGATAGATTAATGCAAGATATCCTTGGTTTTGTGCTGTTAAAATTTTCAAAAATTATGATTTGAAAGGAAATGCCTCAAGGTTTTCAGATTATACATACAATTCCTTCAGCCTCCTACACTGTTGAGTTTTTTTTTAATTAAATGGTTTTGATTAAGAGTGTGTACATATATCTATATCAGATTATTGTACTTGATTGTGCAGAATGCTTGTGTCTTATTCTTAGTAACAGCCAAAATGACCTGTGCTCAAGAGAGATTTTAGTGTTAATTATACTTAAAAGAGAATTAAACAGTAATGAGTAGCTTGTCTTACTATAATGTATTAAGCTTTATCTGTCATGCTTATTTTGCTCAAAATCAAGACAAGATTGAGCAGTGTGTAAGTCTTGTCTTAAAAATGTAAAAATTATTTTAAAAACTGTAAACCTTGTTTTCTTTCAATGCAAGCACTGACTTGAGGTACACAGGGGCATAAGATATCAGATACTTTTTTTTTAATAATTTCTGTGTGCAAATACACAGGTTTCTTTTTTATTGCCTGTTTACACCTCACGTGTCCATCATTGCACCACCACTGACTTGCCCTTCCAAAATTCAGCATAAGAAAGGTGGTCAGGTTCACTGTCCTGCGGTAGAACCCCAAATGAGAGGGGTTTTCCACTGCAGCAGCAGCCTTTGCTTTGTGGGAATGCTCCTGGTAATTCCTGGTTTCCTGTTTCTGTTCCAGTATGTATGACCAATTGCCCTACTCTGATTGTCATGGTGGGTCTCCCAGCGAGAGGAAAAACCTACATCTCCAAGAAGCTGACACGCTACTTAAATTGGATTGGAGTGCCTACGAAAGGTGATGGGGTTACTGTTGTTTGCATCAGAAGGACAGGGCTCAACCTTAGGGGGTTTATAAACTTGATTTCCAGTAATTTTGTTGCCAAGTTTGACTACTTAAAATCTTTCTGTTTAGTATTTTTAAGTAATGACATACACAGGCACGTTGCTGTTTAAGTGTTGACTGTCCATTTACTTCCTTGTTCTACCAGGTACCCAAATCAACCTATTTCCCTTATCATTAAACACTGCCCTTTTTTTGTTTATTTAATTTTTTCCTTCTTTTCCTTTTTTCATGTGGGTGAAAAGGAATGTTGTTTGCAAGCAGTTGAGCAGTCGGCACTTCTGGGTTAAACTTCCCGACTTCTCTTTTCTCTTCCTCCCGACTTATCTTTTTTTCCTCTGTGAACTTTGTGCTACTTGCAATTCTCTACTTCTTTGTGTTTGTGGAATGACTTGCAGTTCTTTGTCTAAATAGTAAGAGCCCAAGGACTGAGGCGGCCAGTTGCCACTTTTTATCACCCTCTTAAGGATTTGTGTGTGTGTTTTGGGCAGGAAATGGCTCAGATTGTGCCAAGTCCCTGGCTGGGCTCCTGTGGTATCTTGTGAGCTCAGTAAACAGCACCTAAGTCCATTTGAGGTCCTGAGCATCCACCTGCCTTTCCTTCTCCTTTCTCTCTGCAGAAGAGCAAGACACATTTGATGTGCTAGGATTCCATGTCCAGTACAGTAGTAGCAGCTTTATGCCTAGTTAATAATTTAAAAGACATTAAACATATGAGATCATACTAAAGTGTGGAGTTTTGGCTGGCTTTCAGAGATGTATTTCCTAGTAGCTCTAAGAAGTCAAGATGAAAAGTTCTGGCCTATATTTAAATTGCCTTTTGATTCTAGGGTAAAGCTTTTTGTGTGGGTGTTTTCTTAAGCTTTTAGGAACTTGTATAATGTGCTTTATTTAGAAGAGACATTATGGGTGATATGTAGTTTGAGGGTTTGCAGGATCTAAATTATCACTTAATTTGACTGTTCCCACATTGTTTAACCCTTCTGATTACCAGTATCACCTAGTTCAGAGTTCAGTTTTATCCATTAGGCTGAAATGGAATAACAATCCTCATAGTTTAGCCTATATTCAGTGTGACAAAATGCTTGTATGTTAGATACACATGTAACTTAAATTTATGAGATGTGTTATATATAAATGTCATTGAGCACTTCACTGTGTGAACTTTGACAAGCAGAAGTCCAGTACTGGACAACAAAGAAGATTTTATCCACATCTGGCTCATGCTTGGTTGAATGTATCCCAAATATTAATTTTACTGTAGGTGGGGTTTGGCTCAGCTGTAGGAAGAATTCCGTGGGCTACTGTGAGCAGCACATCAGAAAACATAATTTGTGCTTAATGGAAAACAGGTAGAGCATTGCTGCCCGATTTTGCTAAAATGTGCAACATGAAGTTGCCATGTGGGATTCTGTCCTTGGTTGCTGGGTATTGTTTGTCTTTGTTAGAAAGAGTGACTGAGATTTTCTCAGAAAACCACAGAGCCTTTCTGTTTGTGTCTTCAGTGATGCAATTTTACTGAAGTCGATGGAAAACACCTCACTGCCTGGCTGAGGGAATAGATGACATTTTCCCTAATTCTTCTGGTTGGTGGGATCAGTATCAAGTAGCCCTAACATCTGCTACCCCTTGGCTCTTAATGTCTTAGAATTAGTGTGTGCTTAATTTAGCAAGAGTTCTTGTTCTCTGAGACAGATGGTTCAAATTATGAGGTTATGTAAACCAGGGAAAAGATAAATGCCATCTTTTCATGTAACATTAAGCAAGCTGGAGCTTTCAAGAATAGAAGGTGGAGGTAAATAGCCCAGGTTGATGGTGTGAATCATTTCAGCCATCATTTCTGTGTTTTCTTCCTTCCAAAATTCTCTGTTGTTTAGAATGTGAAATGGTTAAAAGTACAGGGGACTTTTGTCTGTGCTTTTTGAAGGAAATGAGGTCAATTAGATGTCTGAATAGAATTGTGTTGCAATGTGGTTTTGAGATACTAAGCCTTGGAAACTTTTTGAATAGTTGTGGTTGTGATACTAGTTAGCTTTGGGAAACTTTTCCATAGGTGTGGTTGCTAAGAATGAAGGCTAAAGGTTATTCCACTAGATAACACTTTTTCCTCTGCTGTGCATGACCCTCTGGCAAGAATTATTCCTTCTCATGAAATTCATTATTTTTAATTGTTAAAGTGCTTTTTTGTTTTTTCTGCAAACGCTCACCATCTGAACTTCTTGCACCTTCTGTTTGTTTCACAAGGACCCACCTTTTCATGTAGCCACTGTGGCCAGTGCTCATTGAAACCATCACAGAATCACCTGAATTGTTCTGTAATTCATGCCATGACAAATTCCATCAACACTTGCTGAGCTCAAACAAAACTTGACCTTTGAGGGGGAAAAAAAATTATATCTCTTTCCTCTGCCTCCAATCCCAGTGGCTCGTTCTTGAGCTCTTCTGTTCTATGTCTTCTTTCTTAACTACAACCTTATAATTGTGTGTACTGCTTCTTTTCCTCTTTCCAGAAATGAAGTCTGGCAAATAGAGTTGTACCTTGGCAGCATCTCAAACAGAATACTTCAGTGTGGTTTCAGCAATTTTTTTTTTCTTTTTTTTTTCTCAGTAAGTGGAGCAAGGGTTGTGAAATACTAATCGCTAAGGAATAGAAATATTTGAGCAGGGATATTTCTGAGAAAATGTATCCACTACAGGAATTTTAAGTTTTGTTTACCTAGAGCAAGATTGTTTAGTTCTATTTAAAGCTCTGCCTTGCTTAAATAAAAGCTGTAAGTTTTGGGAGGTGCTGTCTTCATACTGTTGAATACTGTTTCACTGTACATATACATAGAAGAAAAAGCTAATAATAAAAAATTAATACTAATAATCATTACTAGTCCTTTATAGATTTTGAGTAACCCCTAAAAAGGAGGAAAATAATTTCTTTTTGTTGTCCAGCAAACTGACAGACAGAGTCACTACAGTGAAGTGGAGTGACTGCAGCCCAAATGTTCTTTACTATTTCCAAGATTATTGCTGTCATGCTGTTTTAAACCTCACAGAACACAAAAAGAAGTATGATACATTGACTTCTTACAGGCCACGTTATTTTATCTTTGCAGGAAGTTTGGTTTCAAAGTTGTCATAGCTTTTACCCTTCTCACGTGACTGTTGCTGGCTCTTGCTAATGCTGGTTTCTCTTGGCAGAATTTAATGTGGGTCAGTATCGGCGAGATTTGGTGAAAAAATATAAATCCTTTGAATTCTTCCTGCCTGACAATGAAGAAGGCTTGAAAATCAGGAAGTAAGTTTGGATTGTGGTTGGTACACCATACTAATCGTATTAAAATGATATCCTGTAATTTGCTCTTAGACATGGCTTGAAGTTGCATTTTTGTATAATGAAGATGACCCTTAGGGAAACTGCAGGAAAGGACATTTTAGAGAAGGTGGAATAGTGATTTCTTTAGGCTGTTTAAAATTTAGGGGTATTTTTTTCTTGATAGTTTCATCTCAAACATCAAAAATGGAGAGAAGTCCTTCTTGATTCCTTTTCATTAGGATGTGACTACTTTTATTCCTGTAGATACTCTAGGATATTTTCACTCAAAAATTATTTTATCGGATAGTTATAACTTTTCCTACCTTTTTGTAAGGTATCAGCTAATGGATGTGACTCTTTCTGCTGCATAATTACTAAAATGCCCTTTTAGATCTTTTGTTTGCTTCATAAAGGAAAAAAAGTGTAGCTGCTTTTATTTTTGATTTTAATAGTGAAATCGTTCATCTGGAGCACTTTGAATATATTCATCATTATCTGCTTGAATGAGTGAGAATCAAATGTGATAATTATCTCCCTGAAAATGTGTTTTTGGCCACCATGCAGGTGCCTCATTCAGTCCATCAATGCACAGCCCCAAAAATTGCCATGTTTTGCTAATGCTCTGCAAAAGGAGAGAGCCAGAGTGAACTTCTGTGTCTAGATGAAGCATTTGAGTCTCTGCTCTTGCCTGGAAAGAGGCTGTGCTTTAATGTAGGGATAGACCTTGAGAAGAAAGGATAGATGAGGAGAAAGGTCAGAGCAAGAGGGAACTGCTTCCTTCCTAGAGAAGATCAAATGAGAAGGCCTTTTGATTTTCTTCAACATTCACTGTACTTTTTAGTGTGTTCAGGAAAGCACTTAGAGCATGCAGTGTGAAATGAGATGGAAAATGAGAATGAAATGAGAAATTTGAGGTGGATGGAAATAATATTTATTTAGGCTGCTTTAAATATGAACTGTCTTGTTCTTAATTCATCTTCACCTTATGCATCAAAAATGTCTGGACTTTCCTACTGTCTGGACTGTCTTTTGTGGCTGTCCCCTGCCTTGTCCCCTCTCTCTCTCTCTTCCCTTTCCCCCTCTCAGCAACATTGAGTGTTGCTAAAGCCAAAGGAGAACAACTCGCATAAGAACCTCCCAATTCTTGGGGATAAAGAGCAGTAATGAGGTGCATTAGCCTTGCAAGCCACTACCTTTTACTTACAGGTAGAGCCAAACCTTTTAATGTACCTCAGTGTCACCTATTAGACTAAATGGTGAGGGATGTAGCATGAAATGGGCTGTGTGAGATAATCTGCCTGGTTAGCAATGAGTAAAGAGGGTTTGTATTTATTCAGTGAAGACCTGGGTGATGAATCTCAGCTCCTGACATCTGTTAACTGTGCTAATGTGGAAATACTGTCAGGATCTGAAAGCCTTCATTTCTCTTCCAGGCTAAAGCTGTGCTTGCAGAAGATGGTAAATAGAGGAGTTATGAATTTCAGTCTGGAAGTCAAAATTCAAGAGTAATGCAGGGAAGGGCTGTTGAAATGGGCAGGCTTTTATGTTGGTACTGCAAAGAGGCTGTACTTACTGGGAATAAATGGGGCTTTGTTCTGCTAACAAGTAAATCGTGTACAATGTTGCCCTCCAGCATTACTGATGTGTTAGGAATCATAATGGACTTTGAAGATAATGCTAATGCTGGGGACATAGGAAAGTTGCATATTCATATGTTCTTGTCCAGATTTAACACAAGTGTAAAGTATATCAGGGTGGGGATTTTTGGTGTTTGTCCTCAGCTGTCTCCTGTATTAATTACACTGGGTTGGTGACTGCCATGGGGTATTTCACCTCAGTCACTAATACTTGATGCTGCCTTTGTTCTGCTCTCTGTCTTAATTTTTTTTTACATAAGCAGTTTTCACACAATAGCTCAAAAGAGAGTGAGTAGATTACTGAAAAATAGTTGTCTCTCCACTTCAACTTAGTGCCACAAGATAAAGGCCTTAAGTTGGTTTATTTTATTTATTTTTTTTGCAAATCAAATTAAGAAGCAGTTACATATGAAGAGGTAATTGGGAAAAGCCTACAGTTGCAGGGATGTTTCAGTGATGTTATTTTAGATCAGTGGAAGTGTATCCTGGTCAGCAAAGTTGATAGGTGTTCTGTGGGCACCTGTAGCTGTGTCAGTGACACAGGAGCAAGGTGACATGACTGCATTTCCTTAGTGTAGCTTGGCTGACCTCTGTTGGTTTTTTTGGAGGGAGGTCTGTGTTTTTGAGATAAATTATCTAACATTTTCAGTGCACTTTGCTCACAAGTGCAGTAACAAAATGCCTTTAACTATCATTTGACTGTGATTGTTTCCTTCTGAAGACAGTGTGCCTTAGCAGCTCTGAACGACGTCCGGCAGTACCTCAGTGAAGAGAACGGGCACGTGGCTGTAAGTTTCTTGTTGAAGACACCTTTTTGAGATCCTCTTCACTAAACACTGTCTGTCTGCTGGATTATACACAGCCTGAGTGATTACAATAGCTGCCCGGTATACCAGATTTCTTTTCTTCTGCAGTTAGATCTGCCTTGGTGCTGCAGTGAAGTGACTGCTGAATTTCAAGGTGATGATGCCATATTGAGCAGCTACCTTTGATTTGAGGGCTAGCTGAGAAGAGGATAACAGCAAGACAAAAGTCCACCTTCTCTCCACATTACTATAGGACAGTGTTCCACAATGTACCATTAAACACATCTGCCATTTTGCTTGCATGTCTATTTGATAGTTTAGTTTCCAGGTGGAAGGTAAAGACTTACTGAACAAAAAGTATCCTCTGTATTTCTTGGCACTTGTTACTGGCATGAGAAGTGTCTGAAGAGAGCAGGAGAAACTTAGAAATTGCTGCATACCTGAGTATTTAATAATGGGATGCAAAACATCAGTTCTTCAACTGTTAGCATTGCATGTTGAGACTGATTTTAAAAGTTTTGTCCTAAGACTACTGACACCAATCTGGGTTTTTTATTAACTAATCAGGGAAAACCATTAACTATAAGTTCTGCTGGATACATGAGATAAATGTTACGCTTTGGCAAACTTCATACTTTAGTAAAGCACTGTGTTCAAAGCTAAACTCAGTCCCTAGAAAAATGGCTGCATTGATGGTGTTATTCAGGGCAGGATTTACAACTCTTGCAAGTTTTACACTTGCATTTTGAACAGCCCATTGAACTGCAGCATCTTTTTTTTTGCAGCATAAGTTCACTAAAAACTTGTGCATTAGTATTTAATGTTGATAATGGGCAAGGAGGAAGATTGTCTCCTTTATTATGTGCCAGGCTTAAATTCAGATTTCCTTTTCCAAATCCAGAGTTCTGCTAGAATTGTGTCCAAAATAGTACTAAATTTTAATATTTAGAAAATAATGTGTGTAAAGTAGTAACGTCTTTGTTTTCTTGTTGAGCATGTTGAGATAGTGGGGTAGATGGAAGGGGAAGTATTTCCACTGCTTTCCTTCAAACCAAGGGACTTTGAATCCATATTTTTGTTGTTACTAACACAGTGGTTTCCACGGGCTATACTGCTTTTTAAATTCCTTTTTCTCTCTCTCTTTAATTGTTCCTAGGTCTTTGATGCTACAAACACAACTCGGGAACGCAGAGAAACTATTTATAAATTTGGTGAAGAAAATGGATATAAGGTGAGTCAAAGCAAAGCAGTTCTGGGCTATTGCAGGGCCAAGTAAGCCAGTGGTAGTTTTGCCCTTATCTGTACTCTAAGTGCATTAGCACAAGCCACATCCTTCTTGGAAGTTTAATCAATAGTGTGTTTTGTGTTCCTAAGCATTGTTTGTGATTAGAAGTCATTGAGTCCTCGTTTTTGTCATCTTTAGTGTTTGTACTGTTTGGAGCTAAGCTATTTTGTGCTACAGCTTCAGTTTTGTCTTCCTGGACCTGTGGTCATGAGTGCAGTGTCAGAAAGAACATTTAAAGTATGGTTTTTCATGCAGTTCAGATCTTTGCTGCAGGAACATGAAGAGGGTTCTGTGTTATTTCTGTACAAACCAAAAACTTTGTGGTTTTCTGCCTTCTGGTTTTACATTTAGCTGTTCTCCAGTCATCTTTCATTTCCTCTAAACTTTATCTCTGTTAGCCTGTGACACAGCAAAACACGTGTCTTTATAAGCAAGGCTACTCCATTAACTGGGAAGCTTCTAAAATGTTATTTCAGAAATGTTAGTTACTGTTTGTGGGGCTGAACTTCCATCCTACTTTTTTTCTACTGCAAGAATTTTCTACTTGCAAGCATTGTTGGGGAAAAGAGTACAGAGCATGATGTGTAATGGAATGGTGAACCTGCAATTTCTGATGAGAGGATCTGGAGAAGCTTTCTGAGTAAATAGAGGGGAAAAAGCCTTGGCATGGAAGTGGGCAACATGCTGCTTGTATGTGTTAGTATCCAGAGGTGTTTTCATGCATCTTTCTTCTTCCTCCCTTCTGTTCATGTGGCTCCCATTTGGACTGAAGACTTTTTTTGTGGAGTCTGTGTGTGTCGATCCGGAGGTCATTGCTGCAAACATTGTGGTGAGTAAAGGAAAGTTTGCTTTAACAACTTGACATTGGGAGGTTTAAAGTAGCTCAGTATTTTTAGAAGTACATTATAAGAACTTCCAATAGCAAAACCCCCATGTTAGCTCTCATTAATGGAAAAAAAATCCTTTTTTTTTTTCCCTATCCGTGTGAATGTTACTAGTGCAGAAGTTTAATTCTCTGAAGAGTGTTGTTTTTCTGCTTTACATGTATTTTAATGAAGTTGCAGACAAAGCTTTTTGTTGTGTTGTCCCACTCCCTATTTCTTTAAACACCCATGAAGAAGGGAAGCAAACTTGAATACTGTTCTCCTGGTTTTATTTAAACAGCAAGTAAAGCTGGGTAGTCCTGACTATGTTGATTGTAGTAATGATGAAGCAACAGAAGACTTCATGAAAAGAATAGAGTGCTACAAGAACTCGTATGAGACCTTAGATGAAACTCTGGACAAGTAAGTGATGAAACAACACTGTGATGTTATTTTAAGGGTTGGGGCATCCTGTACTGGGGATTAGGGCTTTCAAGTCATTATTTTTGTGGCTTGAGCTCTCTCTCCTTTGGCAAATTAGAGAGTGTTGACACTGGGGGTGTAGCATGGAAACTTCCTTGTTTAGGAAAATTGTCTAGTGAGTCTAGTCTGGGACAATATTCTTTTTGATTTTCCCACTTGGAGAATGGTATTTATTCTTCTGGGATAGAACCAGCATTTAGCAATTACTCCAGACTTTCTACAGTGGTTGGTTGGTACTTGTTTTTTTGGTACATAGAGACATGAGTGATTTGTAACCATAACTTAATTGGTTGGCATGATTAAGGTTAATTATGAACGCATCAGTCTTAAAAATGTGACTTCTGAACTAATTTCTTTGTGCTTTCAAAATTATCCTGCAGATGCAGGTCTGTGATAAACTGTCTTATCTACATTATTTATTGTCACACCAAAGCATTCTTCTGGTTTTTATTAACTTTGAACTCTTGAAAATAAGGTGGGGATGAATCATGTGAGGAAGAGCCCTATTGCTGCCAGCAGACAGTGATACCAGGACCAGGCCAGCTGGGAATCTGTGGTGTCAGTGTAGAGAGGGAAGGATGGAGTGGCCTTGAAACATAAAGGCTTTGATGTAGCAAACACAGAAACCACACAACTTGAAGGCACACAGCCAAAGACCCCAGAACCCTGAGATCACAGCCATGTATAGGGTGGGGTGGAGGGCGTAGGATCCAATCGATAATGAGGATAAGGAACAGAACCATATATGTGTCTGGCAGCCAGCCATGTATTGAAACCAAGAACAGCACCTTAGTTGTAACAAACTGTTAACATATTAATTCCCATGAGACAACTTTTCATTCTATTCTCTTGCCACCATGTAAAAGGATGTCCTTCCTCATAGCTAGGTGTCCCCAGGGTTTGAAGCTGAGGCTCTGTATCTGCCTGCAGGTGAAGCCAGTTCCCTGTCCCTCCCCATGAGGCCCCTTTCTTCAGAGCCCCTTTCTTCTTGCTCCAGCCAAGGATTTCAGAGTAGGATTTGGAGCTGCAGTCATCCCAGGTGCTCCTGGTTTGTTGCAGGCCAGAGCAGCAGAGAAGGCTGAGCTGCATTTTAATGTAATTGAGCGTGAGCAGCGTGAAGCCGGTTCAATCGGTTCAGTTCATGCGTGTAATTCCTGTGATGGACCTAATGGCTGTGCCTGGCTGGAATAGTAATGATTAACTCCAAGGGACATGGGCAGCAATGAGGGTGCTGATGCCTGTTTCTCACTACCTCAGTTTGGTTTTATTATTAGTTTTGTTTTATTGCAGTGTGGTGTCTCAAACACATCGCTAGAAACCAATAGTGGTTATTTTCAGATTATGAGATATTTTTTCCTCGTGTGAACGAGAGGCTGCTCTGGAATTATAGCTCGGATGATAAAGGATAAGCAGTGAAAATTGAAATTATAAGCTGTCTGATGCTGAGAGAAGATTGTGGTGGAGTAGATTACAGTACTGTTAACAAAGGGTTGCTTACAGAGCAGTTGAGAAAATGTCTTGCTTCAGACTATTCCCTGGCTCTTCTGGTGCCCTAGTTTTTCTGCAGGGATTAATTGAGATGAGTAATTAGTGACCATTCCTTTTGGCCCCTGGGTGCAATCAGACAAACACTTAGTGATGGAAAGTGTTTGTAACCTGGAAAAAAACCCAAACGGTATTGTAAAATTGCTGTATGTCTTCTTCAGCTGTGGTAACTTAAGTGTAAACTCCCTTTCAGTGTGTGGACTGTATAAGAGTAGGATCTAGATTTGGATGAAGTGCAAGTAAAGGAAGCAGAAAAGAAAGTGATGTGAGCAGCTCCAAGTGAAAGGAATAGAGTTCATCCTGTACCTTTGGAGTACTGTGTTGTTTCTTAGGACTAATGCATATTCCATGGCTAATTGAGGATCTTTTCATTTCTTTGGCTTGTCGCCCCTTTGTTTTATAATGGGAGGGTGGAAAGATTGTGGTACGTGCTAATAGCAACAATGTGGAACCTTACTTTTTTTTTTTTTAATTTTTTTTAACTTGCTCATGAAAGGGATCTTTCTTACATTAAAATCATGGATGTTGGAAGGAGTTATCTCGTGAACAGAGTGATGGATCACATCCAGAGCCGGATTGTCTACTACCTCATGAATATCCATGTGACTCCTCGGTCAATCTACCTCTGCCGGCACGGAGAGAGCGAGCTCAATCTGAAGGGCAGGATAGGAGGAGATCCTGGGCTGTCTGTCAGGGGGAAAGAAGTATGTACCTCCAGCCAGGCATGACTGTGTTCTGTGTGTGAGCTTTGCTGGGCAGTTGCAGCTTTCCTCCTCTACATCTTTTTCTCTTAATGAGTTTAAAGGACTTTTTTAGTTGTATGTTTGGGTGGTGGAAACAGGATGGACGCTTTGTATGTTGTGGTTTGTACTCTTTTATCTGTTTGTCTCTCTGTTGGCTGAAATTCCTTTTTATCTTAGAGCACAAAGCAGTTGGCAAGAGGGCTTTATTTTTTAACTATATTTTTGTGAAATCTTGACTAGTTGGGTAATTGGGAAAGTGTACACAACTTAAAGCTGAAAGGAAAATTTGTGAAAGGAAAGCTAGGAACTGCTAAAAACTTGTATTTTCCTTGTACTCCTTTTCTTTCTTCTGTCGCTCTTGGATAATGGAGTGGGTTGTATTTCCTAGCAAAAACTTTGACAGTCTTTTGGAAAAGCTACAGTGAGCTTACAGAGGCTGGAACCCGTGTATTCTAAACTGAAGGCCGTGTGTTGGCTCTGAGCCCTCATCCAGTGTCTCTTGGTTTTTCTTCCAGTTTGCCAAAAGCTTGGCACAGTTTATTAATGAGCAAAATATCAAAGATCTGAAAGTTTGGACCAGCCAGATGAAAAGGACAATTCAGACTGCTGAAGCCTTGGGAGTGCCTTATGAACAGTGGAAAGTTTTGAATGAGATAGATGCAGTAAGTTCTTCTCTTTTAAATGCCTAATAAGTTGCTTTGATTGCTAGGGGTGAAGAAAGTACTTAGTTTTTTAATAATACATCTCTTATGGTATAGAAAGTCATTGAAGCTGCTTTTAGAGGCTGGAAATAATTGTCCTTATGTGTAAACAAGGCTAAACGTTTTCTTGAATTTTGCCATTGTTAATTTATTCTTCTCTTGTCTTTCCCAGTGAACCATTCCTCTGTAGAAGCCATGATGTTATGGTTAGTTAGTTAGTTAGGGCTTGGAAAACAAATTATTTTTTGGAGTGGGGGGGTTTGCTAGCTGGCAATTTCCAGCTGCAGCTGTAAGTTATAATAGGAGGTGCAATAGATAAAACATGGCCTTGCTTTGTCCATAGAAGTAACTTCACCTACAGGGATTTAATGATTCCTACTAACTACCTCTGAGTCACGCTGAGTGCCCTGTTTATCATGTGTGACAATTTGAAGTGTCAGAGTAACAAAATAAAACTGTTAAAGGTTATTTGTATATGATTTTATCTAAGAGTGATACATGCTTTTTGCATTACTAGAGATACATGTTTTTAAATTCCTTTCATTACCGACAGGGAGTATGTGAAGAAATGACATATGAAGAAATACAGGAAAATTATCCGCTTGAATTCGCACTGAGAGACCAAGACAAATACAGATACAGATACCCTAAAGGAGAGGTATGCTGTTTTTAATCTCTCAGATTGAAGGGCTTCTCTGTCTTCTTGCATACATGCATGCTGGCTTTAGGAAGGAAAAACAAATTTTTAAATGAATGAAAATGTTGTTCCTTTCTCCGTGGAAGAGCACATAGGATCTTGCAAGGATTCATGAATAAAACCATAAATTAGAAAACCAATGGAGAGCTGGGCATTGCCCCTGTGCTGGTTCTGCAGTGATAAAGCAGGAGGAATTATTGCAGGGCTCCTAAGATGCCCTGTTTCTGTTCATCCCTGCTCTTGGTGGTGGCTGTTTTGCAGGCAGCTCTGGCTGAAATGCTGAGGAAATCTCCAGGCATGTTATTAAACTCCTTGCCTCTGGGAAAATAAACTTGCTGATGGCTTTTCTAAAGCAGCCCTAGTACAGTGCAGTGATGGCCAGATGGTCACAAGGCCATTGCTGGGGGCTGAGGGTCTGGGCACCAGGGAGGAAGGATTGGCCCAGCTGCTCCTGCTTGAGCCGTGAGGAATCCGAGCTCTGCCCTCTTCCCCAAGAGCAATCACTGTGATGAGAGAAGTGTCCCTGGCACTGTGACCTCACTGCTAATGAGGCAGTCATTAAACTGCAAAGTTCTCCTCATGCATTTGGACAAGGAGTGTTAGTTTTTCAAACCAGTGCAGTCCTGGGGATGGTGGCTGGCATGTCACACTCCCTCCGTGCCTTGTAGGGATGAGTTGGCCTCATTTATCCAAGGCAGTTTTGTGTTTGGTAACAGTGTGAGGGGTTTGCACAGCTCTCTGGGGCCATTCTGTTGTCCAGGGCTCAGTCAGCAGTGCCACTTGGTGCTGCCTGGGGAGCAGGGTGAAGGTTTTCTGCTGTCTTTGGTCCTGCCCTGCTGGGCAATGTGCTGAGCTCTCCACGTGTGGTACATGACATATTTTGGACATAAGTGATGCATTTTGGAGGCAGAGTCTTTACCCTGCATGTGAACTGCAGTTCAGTCATGCCCATGCAGGAGCCCTGTGTTCACCTGCAGCAGTAATTCCCTGTGCAGGATGAGGCAGGACAGGTCCCCAGCAAGTCTTTGTACTGACTCTTGGTGGGATGATGCTGTGTCACCAGGCCAGTCCAACATGCTCACAGCTTGTTTTGTAAGGGCAGCCTGAACAAGTCAGGCTTTGTGAACTCTTTGCATGCTGACTGTTGGCTGGGCTTCCTAGATTTGGGCTTTGAAGATGAGCTATGGAAAATAACGTGCAAGACTCATATTTGCAGATGTGAATTAAATCCTAGGGATTTTGCAGAATTTCTTGATCAAAGTGACTAATTTAGTAAAGCTTTTCCATGAGGGAGATTTGCTTTGTTATGTATATAATAAAATGTGTTACGTATATGCTCAGGTCTGAACTGTGTTCTTAGTTTAATAAAAATCATTACTGCAGTATTTGTGCACTGAATAACACTTAGAAGATGACTAATATGAAAGTAAGATCCCCTCTATATACATATACTGTTCAAAGAGTTTTCCCTTTTTAATGTGCTCTGTGTTTCTCGTCCCCACCCAGTCCTATGAAGATCTTGTTCAGAGGCTGGAGCCAGTAATTATGGAACTCGAAAGGCAGGAAAATGTGCTTGTCATTTGTCACCAAGCTGTCATGCGCTGCTTGCTTGCTTATTTCCTTGACAAGCCTGCAGGTAAGTCTTCCTTGATACATTCCAGTCTGCTTTTTTGAAAATTTACTGCTTAAGGTTCCAAACAGGAAATTCTAACAATTTGCTGTATCATCAGAAGCTGGTTTTGCTAGGGAAGTACCCAAGTGTATTTTTTTGTATTTGACCCCCACATGAAACCTGGTAGTTGATGTTATTCCTCCTCACTTGAAACACTGTGATATTTGTTTTTTGCTCTGATTAACATCTCTGTTGCATGCTATGAAAACAGATATACTGCTAGGTAAAAAGTCATTCAAGTAGTCGACCTGAAACAGAAAAGTCACTTGTAACCTGTATTTCATGTGTAATTTGTGGTTTAATTCCTCAGAACAACTGCCCTACCTGAAGTGCCCACTGCATACTGTCTTAAAGCTAACCCCGGTGGCTTATGGTAAGTGCAGTTATGTATATTTAATATATATGTCTGGCTATACTGTCTCTGCCATCAGGAAAGGTGGTGAAGCGTTTAAAACACACTTTATCTTGCTTTAAAATAGCATGTATGCCTGCAGAGCTTTGCTGGAATAAATGAATCCTCTGGATTAGCCTTGCTTTTCCTTGTGCCAGGAAACACATGTGTTGCTGAAGGCCTGAAACCACCAGTGGCTGTAACTGCTGGAGGGGACAGTTTTGTGCTTAGTTCATACTCTGATTCACTAATTCTTCTGGCAAACTATGCACTTACACGTCTGCTACACCAAGATTTGAGGTTTTATTCATGTATTGGAGGGTATTGCTTTTCAGAAGACAGGTAAATTTACATTTGTATAGGTTTATAATCTTGCAAAATGTGTTCCCTTAGCCTTATATAACTTTGTTCTCTTTTCCTGAAGTATTTTTTTCCATGGACTATGACAGTACCCCATGAACTCACCTTGTTTGTTGATATTGGAATTTTTTGTCAGCAGCTGTTCCTGTGCTTGGCTCAGGGGCTTTCCCTGGGCTCTGTGGGCAGTGTGGGGTGTGGGTTACCACATGCCCTGCTTGGGCTTTAGGCTGATTGCTGATCGAGTTTTGTGTGTGTTCCCAGCTCAGCTTAGTGTGTGCCTGCTGTTCATTTTGTTAAGTGATGACTGAATTGTATCTGCTGATATCCCACTTCAGAAGATCATCTCGGGAAGATAATTATCTGCATAGCTTATTAGGAAAAATGTATTGCTCAAAAATGTTGGTTTAGTCACTATTTGAAAGCTGGTTTTGATTATCAGCTTTAAAAAATCCAGATCTGTCCTTTGTTTTTTGTTAAGTTTCAAATGAAGTTGAAACAAAGGATATTATGAAACAAAGAAGCTGCTACACTGGGAAATCTTTTTGAAGAGATTTTTGTCGTTTAGTTGCAGTGTCGTCCTACAGGAATGATAGCCTGTGCTATGGTGACATCTGGTGTTCCCAGCCTTGCATGACAAAGCTGGGGTTTTGAAAATAAAGATTCACTGTAGTTAAAACTTGGGCTTTTTAAAACTGGATTCTTCTGACCTGATAGTCTCTGCCTGTTTTTCACAGCAAGGTTTTGTTTTGGGTTCTCTGGTGATTTTTTTTTTTAAATAGTTGCTGTTCTTCTTTCTTCTTTGTGAGGGGGAGGGAAGTTGGTGACCCCTCATAAATTTTAAGAGGGTGTGGATGTTTGCAGTGTATGCTCACGCACTAAGAGAGGAAGGAAACAAAGTGGTACGAAACACTGTCCTTGCCCTTTTGACTTGAGGGAAAGAAATGCCATTGTCCTTTTTAAGGTGTTTGATATGTATGTCTGATGAGCACATTTCAGCCAGCCTACCTTTTGGAGTTCATCCATCTAACACAAGAACTGTGTAAATGATTTCTGCAGTACTGATCGGTGGCACTGCTCCAAGCTGATGTGGCTCCAGCCAGGCAGGATGCAGGATCAGACTTGGTGTGTTTGATACCTCCCAGCTAAGCCTGTTCTGGGGAAATGCCTCCCCCGGGGCTTTGCTCTTCCTGGTGTTGAAGAGGAGCATCATTCCCACCTTAAGAGTCTGATCTGCAGTAGAGGAACATGTGCTGCAGTCTGACAGCTGGATCAGGGTAGATGAGACCTTTATCCAGTCAGTAGTCCAGGGCAGTGGTGGTCTATGGAAAGAGAAACTGCAGCTTGCTGTACGTATGAACTCGCTCATCAGTAATTAAAAGTGAGCTGGGAGTGGTAATTACTGTGGAGTAAGGCATGTCTCTTTAGTTTGTGTTTAAAGCTTTCCACACGATGCTCTCTTTGGATTTGAAACTCAGCTTATGGCAAGGACTGAGAGGGCTCTGAAGTGTCTGCTGTGCAACAGTCCTGGATAATGGCCAGCAGCAGGACTCAGAGCTTGTCTTGGCTTGGTCTCAAGGGTCACAGTGAATCTGTGGACAGAAGGATGAGTAAGGATCCTGCTCCAGTGAGAGATGTGTGCTTTTCCTCCTTAAAGTCTGTTTTATGGCTCACTGTTTCTCGGAGTTCTGGCTCTCCCGCAGCGGTTGCTCACAGTCTTTCTGACAAATGGCCTTTAAAAGGACAGGCTTCCCAAAGGGAAGGCAAATACTGGCCTTACTAATTTATTTCTTTGAAGTGCAGTGGCTTTCTAGGGAAATCTCTTTTTTCTGTCATGGAGCAATTCTATGGAGTGTGTTATGACTTTAGGGAATAAATGAGGCGAAAAATCTGGAAACTTGCTTGTGATGGAGGATGGACTCCCGTGTGTCAGAGGAAGTGACTATTAATGATGTTGTGTAGAGTAGTTGTAGCTTATAAAAGTCATGTTTGTGTGAGATCAGCCAGGGTTTGGTAATCAGAGACTGCTTAAAGTGCTGTGGCTGTGGTGTATGGAGTAATAATATAATTCACTAAGATCAGTTTACACTACCTGGGGAAATAGTTATTTCTTCTCACTGTTTAATTTTTCTTTCCTCACTGGCATTTTGAATTTTTGAATGTAAAGCAGAAATTCCTTTTCAGCTTTGAAATTCTGTTTAGCTTGGGGTTAAAACCATTTTGCATATATAGAGGAATGGGGGTTGCTGACAATGTGCTGTATGTTCTTGTAGTTGTTTTCGTGTTTAATAAATGAGAGCAGCATTTATCTTCTTAGAATTTTACTATAATACAGAAATCTAGGATGTTCAAAACACAAAAAGTTACAAATAAAAAATTTCTCACTGAATGTTTGTGTATGTTTAAAAACAAAGTTTTTTTTTTTCCAAAGAAAATAATGATAATACTAAGTTGAGGAAATGGATTATCAGCTTGACCATAATATCCATCAGGTGTAACAGATTAATTTCTGTAGCTTTTGCTCTTCAGAATTGAGGAAATTCTGGTATAAATCAGAAGGGGAAGGTGATTAACCTTCACCATCTCAAAATTAGATTGCATCTTTATTATAACTTTACTTTCAAAGCAGATGTATCTAAAAATGTGTTTTCTATCAACAGGATGTAAAGTAGAATCTATATTTCTGAATGTCGAAGCTGTAAACACACACAGAGATAAACCTGAGGTAAGAATATTTTTCAAACTGGAGAACTTGATAAAATGTACTGTCTGAGCTGATTTCCATTGTCCTTGTGGCTAGAATTGATTTGATAACTCGACTGAGTGTATTTTATTTTACATATGAAGCTTTGCTACTGGTTTATTGTGAGGGGGGAGCAAATTTTTCATTGACTGAATTTCTTATATGTGAGTTCTAGCTGGAATAGCTTATCTTTGAGAAATGAGAATTTGAAGATGTGATGTCAGGCCAAAAACTGTATAAAGTTCTGCCAGGCTTGTAGTCCACAGTTGTGTTATGAATGGCACACTTACTCTGTGGAGAGAAATCATCAGCTTTTTCATCCCTGCTGTCATTGCTGTATGAAAGAGAGGAACTGATGATGTCACCTGTGTTTTAAGCCAAAGCTGGAGAGGAAGACTAGATCTCAGGAAGCAACAGGACAACCGGGGGAAGGAAATTGAGCATATTTGTAAAATGTAAGTGCAGAGATGTCAGCCCATGGCAGCTCTGTGCCCTGCCTGTGTCAGGCTCTCTGTGCTCCTCAATGTCCACCTGAGCTCAGGCTGATTCTGCTGCTTGTGCCAAGCTCTTCCTTGCTTTATCAGCAAAGTTGTGTGAAATGTGTCACAATTAAAGCTCTCTGGTTCCCTTGCAGATCCTCAGGCTCATGCCACCAGGCATGGCACTGATTCTGACCTGAGGTTAGGAGCAGTGCCTACTGGTCAATTGGAAGTCAGTTTGGTAACATGAGAAAAAAGGGCTGTGTTTGGTGGTTTTCAGAGCAACAGTTCATGGTGAAAAGGAATGTAGTGAGAAATGAGGTTTTATGTGTGTATTCAACAAGGCATGTGAGATAAAGTGCCTTTTGTAATTGAGGATTCACTGTTGTGCAGAATTCACGCCAGAATTCTTTGGTGAATTCTTATGCAAAGTTTTGTTTCAATGACTTGGGTATTCCAAGTTCTGAAACTACTGACTTTTGGATGTTTTATCTTCAACAACTGCATTGCGTTATTTCCTCTCTCCTCCTTTTCCTGCTTTGTCATTCTGCTTTGCCATTTTGTGTGTTAGTTTGATTTGTTGTGTTTAGGAAATTTAGTCTGTGTTTTCACAGTGCCTAAGACTGGAGAAACATAGTGAAAAGCCATGAGGGTGTCTTAGAGGAGTAGGTTATTTGTGTAAAATAATCTTTAGTTTGGCTGATCAAAATACCAGTGCTGAATTTACGTCTTGCTAAAATGTTGCTGAAAATGCCAGTCCTCTAACTGAAGGGGTTTATTTGAAGGGAGAAAGCTCTGCCTGAATCACCAAGAGACTCTCCACATGTCTAGCAAGTGATGTGGCCATGCTGGCACTGCTGTGGGCTCAAAGACACAAGACAGATTGAAATAGAGATAAATTGAGTGAATTTTATAAGATGGAAAAAAAAGGAGTAGTGGCAGTTTTCTAAAAAACCCTCAAATTCTCTTCTCCCTCTGCCCCAAAAGAAGCCCAGCCTGGTTAATATGGATGATGTTACACTGTTCAGGTAGTGGGGCTGAATAAAGGACTGAGTTTGGTCCTATCTGCATTTAATTGCTGCTCAGAGGACTGTGAAATTTTCAAAAGCTTTCATTTATATCACCTACGAAAATGTTAATTACTTCTGTAAAATTAAGTTTTCAAGTAGTCTGTTGAAGTCAAAGCATTTAATTGAATACAGTGTCACATAACATCATTGTTAAACAATGAAACTATTGGATTGAGAATTGCCCAGTGTGCTGTTCTGTGACCCACCAGTCACTTGTAGTCTGTGCTCCAGAACAGTGCCCTCCTTTTGGGCTCAGCTGAAAACGTCTATTTTGACATGGCAGAAATGCAGGCAAAGCTCTGGCATGTTTGTCTGTGGTATGTGTGAACCTCAGAGTACCATGGTGATTTGTCTGGAGCAGATTGAAGCCTTGTGTTTGTCAGCGTTGTAGTGGCTGAAGTTCTGACCTTTCCCAATGAAGGAGTCTATGGTCTTTTACAGAAAATAATTCAGGGGAGTTGCTTTAGCTGTTTTTGGGTCCCTCCTTTGGGCCAGAAGACAAGTACTGGGGTGAAATGCCTGCTTTGCACATCTGGCTTGGTCAGTGAATGGCAGAGAGAGGATTACTCACCCCAGATCTCCTTTTTTATTTTGTTGAGGGGACAGGGGGAGGGAGATGTTAGTGCAAGGTGAGCTGCCTTACTACAGTGCAGAATAAGCAAGACTAATGAAACCCACCATCATGAAGTTTAAAGAATTGGCAATGATTTGGCCTAAAATGGATCTTGTAAGGACCTTCAGAGCAGTTTATCGTGCTCTGCTGTCTTGATAGGAGGGAGAATACCAATTGCACAGGCTTTGGGACTTGCAGGAGGTGGGGCCGTTGCAGATGTGATTCCTGATGTGTTTGGCTGTCCTGGACTTGGTTTCATTTGGTTTTGAATAATTGAGTGCTGCACTGAATGTCATTGTTTTTCTGCAGACTCGGCAAAAGAAGGTGAGATGTAGTTGGTGTGATCAGCCTTGAATGGTTAAGGTGTCTGAGAATATATTTTTTATTTTGTTAGAGGTATTACATTACCTATAACACAAACAAATGTTAAAAGCATTCTTTTGGCACAGAAGCATGTAGCATATTCAGCAAAACACAAAGTTTCTCAGTGAGAAGATGTGTATGTGCTGAAGCACAGGATAAGGTGGATTCCTACTTGGGCCTGTAAAAGACTTCCTCCTAAATGTGACTGACTTGAGCTTTAGGTAGTACTGTCAGCAAGGGACCTGTATTTAATTGCTCCTCAGAGGTCTGTGAAAATTGCTAAAGCTTTTTTTTTTTTTTTTTTTTTTTGTACTGTAAATACATTTTGGTGCTGTCTTATTCTGGGGCTGGTGCTCAGTCTGCTGCATTCTTGGGGTATGGGGGACTGAAACCATCTCTGCTTCTCAATCAACCCAGCTGTGTACTTGTGAAGGGACCTGATTGGTGGGTTTGTTTTGGTCTTACTGCTGCATGATAAATATTCTCTGTATTTTTATTATTATACAGAATGTAGACATTTCCAGACCTACCGAGGATGCTCTTGTAACAGTCCCTGCTCATCAGTGAATTCTGTATGCTGACCAACTATCAAACTTGGGGTGCTGTTTTCGTCCTGCTGCTTCAAAATAAATTGAGAAGCTAATAATTCCAATGACTTTGAAATAAAAAAAAAAAATAGCCATACCCAAACCAAACTCATAATCCAAACCAAATGTTTGTACAGCATATGATTTAAAAAATTTATCAAATCACAATAAAACTGTTGCACTGGCTAATTTATTGTGGATGAATTAATGAAACCTTGATCGGCTCTCACTGGAAGGCTGGTTTTGTCAATTGCTGTAATTTAAATATGCTGCAGCATTAAGCTTTATTGTAACAGCCAGCAATCATTTAGTGTTAGTTGCAGTGTATTTATGAAAGCCATGAAACACAACATCCTGTGTGAGATAAAGTCAGAATTTGTTTTGCCCAGCAGAGCACAATTATTATCTGTATCAGGGCCCTTGGGAGTGATTGGACTGCCATGTAGTGTAAAATAACAAGCCATAATTACTGTAAATCCATAATCTTACTGATCCACAGCACTAGTGCTCTACATGTGCTAATTATTGATGTGCTGTTGGGGCAGAGTAGCAAGTTTTCACTTAGTTCCAGGACAATTATTCAAAGAACAGGAATGTGTATAAATGTTTTTAATATAGAACTTCTGTTAGCAGCTGTTCTGCATTAACCAGGCTTTAGAGTTTGGCCGTGGGCAGAAGGGATTTTAAATTCCCTCTTTTCCTGCTTTGTGTGGATGTGGGTGATGGAGCATGCTCTGCCCCAGCTGCTCTGTACCCAGATTTTATGTGGCCTCCAATAAGCAGTGCTGACCATTCCAGAACAGGGAAGCAGAATTAGCCAGAGGATTTTGTGGGCTCCAGTAGATGCAGATCTCAAGCCAGCAGGGCATGAGTCCCAAACGGTGTGGTAGGAAAGTCTCTTGGAGGAGAGAGGAGACTGCAGGCTGTGGGAGATGTGGTGTCTTGGTGCCTTTCCCATGATGTGCTGTGGGAAGCACCTGTGCCATGGAGCAGGTAGTATTGAGGCAAGGAAAGGCAAAAAAAAAGCCTCAGAACTCTTTTAACAGTGAAAGTAAGCAGGACTGTAGGTTGTGGAAAGCTTTTATCTGTCAGGTTTCTCAGGTGCTATGTTTTTCCCAAACCAGGATTTTGGCAAAAAAAGCCCAGTTACATATCTGCACTTGTAAAATTGTACTGAAGTCTTCAGAAGCTTCTAGCAATTGGGAATGTTTCCCATAACTAGATAACCTTCTGTGCAGAGACCTCCTGCTGTGGTGCTTGGTGTTTAATTAAACCACTGTCCCTGGGCTGAAACTGGGAGAACGTGGATCATCTTCCTCTTGCTGTCATGACTGTCATGTAGGAGTGGTTGATCACTTTTCTGTGTCTAATTGCTCCAGGGTCTGGGCATGAGCTTTGCTGGGAAAAGTGGCCCAGAGGAGCACCTGAGCCTGCTGTACCCCTTGCACACAACAGTGAGTCTGGTTGCTCTTACTGACATTCCCGAGGGATCACAGGGATTCTGGCCATAGTCAGGTACTGAGGAGCCACGTGGAGACAGCTGGGAGTGCTGTCACCTCCACAGGCCACAGCTAAGGAAATACCATCCAAATGAAATGAAATGCATTTTTGATGGAGCCAAAATCTGTGCAGGCATCTGCTGTGGAAAAACTGAGTTTTGCTGCTTGCAAAAGGATGGCTTGGGCTGTCAGAGAAAATTGAGGGGGAAGATGACAAGAGCAGGAGCTTGGCCAGAGAGGAGAGCAAAGTTTGCCTGTCTGTGGCTGGTGGAGGTTGCAGAGGGAAGGGAAGCAGCAGGAACATCCAGGACCCTCTGTTCCTGCCAGCTGCTGCCAACCAGATTTCCTGGGGCTGTGTCTGCATGTTGTTCTCTGCTGAGCACTCACTGTGCTGATGTGTGCAACAGAGTGAAGTGGATATATAAAGGCAGAATGCTCTAAGGGGTCTCCTCTCACAGCAGGATTGCTCAACAGCCCTTGCTTTGTCAGTAGAAGGAAGGCCTGATGCTGGATAGGAGGCATCAGGGCTGGTTCATGGCACAGATTGCCGAGGGGAAGCTGGCTGATAGAGTGCTGGATGTTTATATTGTGCTGGTTCTTGTCTCCAGAGGTTCCTCCTTTTGCCTGTGGGAGCCTTTCTGCAAGATCTTCCTGTTCTGCTCTGAAGATCACATGTAGCTGAGTGAAAGTAAAACTGTGAACAGGGCCTGTCCTGTTGGAGACCCACAGCACTTTGCTGGGGGAAGCTCTGTCCTCGAGGAAAAAAATATACAAAGGCTAGGGCATAATGAGAACAGCAGCAGTGGTATAGGAGGGTATTTGAGTTAATCTGTACACTTTGAGCCTTTCCAGGAAGGACTGGGTGTGCTGGACTCTTGTGTGAGGTAGGGTCAGACTGTTCCTGACTCAGGGAGCAGGCTCTGGAAGCAGCAAGCTCCTGCTGGGGCTGGCCAAGGAAGAGGGTATATGGCTTGGTAGAAACAGTATTTGGGAAAAGTGAGTGGATTTTACTCCTCCTCCTGTGTTTCCTGGGCTCTCCAGACCGTGTTGCTGGTGTGAGGCTGTTCCCAGCATGGTCATTTGTCCAGGTGTGCTTTGGTGCCAGGCAGTTGCAGGGACACCTGATCCCAAAAGTAAGGCTGAAATCTCCATCACCTTTCTAAGCAGCAGCACTGTCCTTGTTGCATGACTTTCTCCTCACAGTGCCCCTGGCTCTTCTGAAAGTGGGTACAATCCCAGCTGCTATCATCTCATCTAATGGGCTTCCTGTGAGTAGGAATCCACTTACAGTTAATGAGGATATTGGTCCCTTTCTAAACCCCTGTTCATCTGCTCTCACTGCTGGTGGTTGAGTATATTTAATAAGCCCTTGGGGGTGTTTATCAGAATTTATCCCAGTTTTCTTCCTTCAGTGTGACAGCTCAGCACACTTTGCTTCCACAGCCTGTTTACATTTACTCAAATTCAAGCTTTTTTTGCTTTCCGCTTTCTTGCCTGCTTATCAATATTCCCTTTGGGTCTGTTTCTGTTGTTAGAATGCTGCTTTTATCCAATACCTCTCATTGAGAGAAATAAGTTGTATCTTCTGCCTTGCCTTAATTACCACATTTCTTTTTAGCTTCGTGTTTGAGCTGCCTAGCTCTTGCTGCTTTGTGGACTAATTTCCAGCACCTCTGTATTCCTGCATTTTGATGCTCCATTTCATGCTCCATTTAATTTTCTTTGAATCAACATGAGATATTCAGCTTAAAAGATTTCAGCCAGTATTCTGGGAGTGCCTGTGGAGATCTCTCTGCAGTCACAGGGAAATTCTGGGTATGTTGCATCAGTTACTAAGAAAAACACAAACACACCAAATGCCAACATGTTCTGTTGGTTTGTTGTTTTTTTCCCTTATAACCATGCAGAATATTACTTGTTTTGCCAACTCCTCATGTTTTTAGATTCTGATACTTTCCTCTTGCTGCAGAAGAGATGCTTCTTGTAGAAGCTTCTTTTTGAAATGGGGTTGTTGCTTTGCTTTCCTTCAAAGAGATGTGAGAGTGGATTAGGCTGTGTGTACTTTTCTAGTGCTTGGACAACTCTGTCCAGCAGCATTTGCTGTGTGTGTGTTCCCAGAAACCTTGGCATGGGTTTATGGTGGAAAATGGGGATTTACCCAAGGGCTTGAAGGCTGATGACAAAGGAAAGGGCTGATGTGGATATAGGAGAACTGGTGAGAGCAGAACAGTGTTGGCAGAATTCAACCTCCAAAGAGAATCTGGTGCTGCTTGTTTATATCCTGTTTTCCTAAGAAATGGCTGGAAATCTAGAAACTGGGGTTTGGGAGGGGATTGAGTTGCAAAGAGTTGATGAGTTTTGGCTGATGGAGTAGTTTGTCTGCATATGCTGAGAGGGCCCCTTACTGTGGGCTCTCCCAGGAGCTGGACTGGAGAGACTTGTTTTGAATGTAAACTCTAATAAATGTGGCTATAAAACCACTGGAGCATTCCCTGATCTCAGTGTGACATCTGCTACATGCCATGTGGATCCCAAAGTGCATTTAAACCTTGTTACCAGCTCTTCAGGGAGTTATTCAGAGTTCTTCCAGTGATTTGGCTGCTCACAGATAGGATCAGGATTGGTTTTATGGCTGTTGGTGTTAAGGAATTATTTCCTGGAGTGTGCTTGGAACAAGGAGAGGTGGGCTTCCCTCCCTCAAGGTTTTATTGATTCCTGCGTGGTTTATGGCCTTTGCAGGGTTCTGTTTTTCCTTACATTGCATGCATAAAGACTGGGAGAGACAGTGGGTTAGAAAAATGTGGTTAAAACAGTGGTTAAAGGAAAAAGGGTTTTAAAAGCTGTAACACTGTGACCTGCATATGGTGTACAGGGACCAATTATCCTGCCAGACCTGGTGAGATACAAGTCTGAGGGCTGCATTTCACTGGCACCAGAGATCCTGCTTTTGGGTGTCTGAGGGGTCTATAAAGCTCCTGGCACTGGGACGAGGTCCAGGCCTGGTTCTGACTCCTGCTCAGGGGCTGGGACCTTTCCTTGTGTTTTACAGAGCGTTTTGAGGAAATGAGCATTTACAACTTGCTCACCTATTGTGTCCTGTAACAGCTGAGCAAAAACGGTGGCTGCCATGAGATCTTTGCTCTAAATTTATTTTTTTTAAATTTTTATCTTTAAATTTGCAGAATGTAGGTGTGAATAGGTCGAGAGAAGAAGCTTTGAGGACAGTCCCCACCCACCTATAGCTGCAGCTCCTGGGGCAGCAGCCCTTCCTCCAGCAGCTCAGGGCCCGGCGCTGTCGGATCGGGGTCGGGACGGGATGGAAGCGCCTCCCCTTCCCTTCGAGACATTTCCAGTGTGATTCTGCTGCTTTGGACAAAACCTGTGCTCGTGGATAACTCGAAAGGTATCACTAAAAAGATTGTGGGAAGCAGAGCAGAGTTGGTTTTAGATTTTTCTTATGTAAATTTGTGCAGTTTCAGTGGGTTTTTACTGTTCTTCTGTGGATAATGCAAGGTGGTTAATTGCCCGTGTTGATTTTACTGTCAGATTTTAACTAGATTCTATTTTCTTTTGTAAGTGTTTTTTCTAAGAGTTCTCTTATTTTTACTGTGAATGATTGCCTAGAATTACATGGAGTTTTTTTGATGGTGTATTTAACATGGGCAAAATTATACCTTTTGAGCACTGGAGAGTTCATGTTGCAAAACTTCTTTAAATGGGGAAGCCCATCAGTTCTGATAATTGTCCTATGTTTTAAATTGAACTTTTAAATTTAATTGAACATTTGAATTGAAATTGTGGTTTGCCAACCACAATTTAAAGTTTTTCTGAAATTCACAAGGGAAATGTTCCCTTTGGAGAATCAAAGCATTAATGCTGGATTTGCTTCCTGGGAAATTCTGCTGTTCTAGCAAGATTTTAACACTTTCCAGAGACCAGGGGTATTTTGGAGGGCAATGGGAGATATGAGTGTGAGTGACAGCTGGGGAATGAATCAAGAGAGAGATGGAGAGAGACAAATCCTTTCTGCTGCAGTTATGGGAGGGGATGAGCAGCTTTTCTGAGTCTGGAAGGGAGGGGAAAAGGATTCAGCCTGTCAAAGGCTGGAAAAGCTGCTTGTCTTGTTAGTGTTGTCATTATATTTTTAGAGAATTTTTGGAATGAATTTCAACATAAAAGTATATGTTTCTCTTTTATAGTCACATTTAACACGTACATCAGGAAACAGTACAGAAAGGTTAGGTGAGTTTAACCATCCTAACAGCTCATGCAACAAAAACACCAGGTAAATTCTGAAATAATTTTTAACATGGCACACCTGCCTTGGAGTTTTTTTGGTTTTAAGCACCTTCCATCATCCCAATTCTTCTTTGTTGCTCTTTTATGCCTAGTGAAACTCCAGTGCTAAAAATGGAATTTTTTGTGTCTGTCAAGGTCACAACCTTTTAACTGTACTAAATCAAAGTGTATTTTGTATGTGTGTTACCAGACAATTGAAGTGAGCTGCCAGCACTGCTGCTGGCTCTGGCTCTGCAATGAGGAGAACTATTCTTTGGTAGCTGGACTGTGGTTTTTTCCTCAAGATTCTCTCCAATTAATTGAGCTTTTACCATGTGAGTTGTTGGGGTTGTTTTGTTGTTTTGGGTTTTTTTTTCTTTCCCGAATTCCTGTGTGAAATACCAGGCCCTGGTAACATAGTTTTGCAGGCAAGGGCTAAATTGTCTTTTGTTTGTGCAGGGTTTATAAAATAATGTGCTGCTGTTGTGATTACTTTTTTTTTTTAATAAGCTAAATTCAGCAATATATTCAGCTCTGGAAGTAAGCCATAGTGCATTGCTGGGTTGTGTTTCAGAGGAGGAATGTGTAGGGTGCAGAATGCCCAGGAACACTTGCTTCAAGCGCTGCTGTCTAAAGCTTTGTGTGTGTGTGTGTGTGTGTGTTATGGTAATGCCATTTCAGACCTTTATTAATTCAGCCGTGGCCCATAGTTGTGGGGTGAGGAGAGAGCCTGCCTGGCACTGCTCAGAGGAGTGAATTTATTGATGTGTGCTTAACAAGGCCACCTTTGTGGCACAACTGAAGGAGCCATTTCCCCTCCCACTGTGGTGTGGGAAAGCTGGGCTGTGCCTCAGGCAGCCCTTGCTCCTCTGCTGGGACGGGGGGGTGGTTAAACAGCTTTTACACTGAGAATGTCAGGCTTTATCTGTAAAAATCCCAGGAGGCTGCATTAGAGAAGTGGGATTTTACTGGCCCATTGTGAGCTCAGACCTGACTGAAGAAATGTGGGCAGAAATGTTTCCCCCAGTGAGAGCTGAGCCCAGGGTTCCTTCTCTTTGCTGGCAAGCACAGCTTGAAGTGTCTCCTCTTCCCCTTTGTTTTACCTCTCTGATCTGTCAGAGGTGCTGTAACATCCTCGAGGCTACATGTTCTATGTACAGTAGGTATTTTTATATCCTGCTTTCAGATATACTGTGATGATTGTTTTACTGCAATGGGTGTTCAGTAAAAAGAGATGTATACAAGTGTAAATAAACTATTGTGCTGATACTTGAAGAGAAAAAAAAAATGAAGTTGTTTGGTTCTATGGTAGGAAGGTACTAAATCAGTGGCTGCATCTGACCCTGGCTGGAGAGAGCAGGTGTAGATGATGAATGTAGATTTGAGCTGAATGTAGATTTGGAGTGATGGGTTCTCCCAGGGTTGTAACCCTAACTGCTCTTCTGGGGAGGCACAGTTAAGAATTGCAGTTAATGTCACTTTGTAAAAGTGTGTGTCCCCCACTCCTGACAGAATAGTCACTGACAGGGGAGGGGAAAACCCTTGTCCTGACCTTCTGTGTTTGTACCATTTGACTGCCTCTGTTCTGTGTGTGCCTGGCTCAGATGCAGTCTCTCAAATGGGATTAAAATGTCCTTTCTTACATCGTTGACGTTTGTTGTGATCTTTCAGACAAATGTAATCATTTGACCTTTGATCCAAGTAATAAAGATCAAATGCTACAAGGTGCACTCGTGTGTTTCTTTCCATGTCCATTTCCAGTGGTTGAAGTACCATGTGAGCGTTCCTGGGCCTCAGCAGGGTTCCACAGCTCCCACAAGCTGCATTTAGGGAGCTTAGATAGAAATATAAGGATTAAATTAATTCACTTTGTGGTTGCTTTACTGTGACAACTATCATTTAAGTAGGAAACTCAATAATGGAAAAAGTTGGAAGAACTGATTAAATAAATGCATGCCAGGACTTGCACACAGTGGAGGAGAAAGGTAAGACTTTATTAGCTTTACCTGGTCACTGGGATTAAGATCTGCTCCACCCTCTCAGACCTACACTGTTTTTGCATTGTCTTGAACATGCTGCTGATGTTTTGAGAAAACTGAAAACCAACACCCAAATGCTGCCTGTCAGTACAAGTTTGTATGCAGAGGGGAGCTGGAGGGCATTAAATTTGCAGGGGTACTTTTATCCTTCAGAATGACAAGGACAAAATTAATCACTGGTTTATGCTTTTAGAACTATGTACTCACATTTTCATGTCTTGCTGGTTGCAGCTCCCAGGTGCTAACCACTTGTCTCTTCTCTGCTAGGTGGGAGGAGTGTTTTCATAGTTTTTTTAACTCCACTGTGTATTCCTGTTTGGGGAGCAGGTAACTTTGTTCTAGAGCTTTTAGGCTGCTTTCTGGACAAAATCCTTTAATAGCTGACACTTGCTGCACTATGAGGATGACCCAGAGCCGATGGGTGAGTGAACCCTGATGGTGCTCATAGGTGGCTCTGGGATGCAGCAGTTCTGCACAGGAGGTGGAGCAGCTCCCCAGGCTGTGGAGCTTTCCTGCCTGTGCTGTCAGGAGGTTACAGTGGTGCCAGGCAGGGCCCTGTGCAGGGGCTGAACAGGACAGGGAGGTGGAGGAGCTGCTCTGCAGAGGAAAGGGATCTGTGCCCCCGTGTTACCAGTGCAGCTGGGCACAGCTGTGGCAGCAGGAAATGCTCCTGGTACATCAATCAGCTGCCAGCTGGAAGAGTTGCTGTGTGGACTCTGAGCAGATCTGACACTTGATACTCCAGAGCAAAGCAGGTGAGTACAGGGAGCCAGCGTTCCCACAAGGAATATTTACTACTACTTAACAATTCATAGCAGCTTCTTTGTGTGCTAATACCCACTGCTGCTGGCACCCACATCTGTAACCTTTTACTTAGAAACGTGTTTCTGCTTGGGTGCAAGGGCCCAGCACTCACCTTGGAAAGCAGAATCACTTTCTGGTGAAAAATAGCAAACTGGAAGTGACTCTGTAGGTTATGTGAAGGGGAAAAGCCCAGGTTCCTGCTCACCTTGCAGGGCACTGCTTGTTCCCCTTGGACTGGGAATGGTAAAGCAGGCCAGCCCTGGCTGTTTGGAAATGCCAGCTGTGTTCTGCCCCTTCCAGCCTCAATCTGCTGCAGGCTCAGATGGCATCCGAGTCATGCTGGTATTACTTGAGTTATAACAATAAGCTAGAGCTGTTCTTTAGAAGCAGAACAAAGGCAGCAGTGTATTTTTTTTTTAGTCTCTACAAAGTATTGCAGTTTTATGCTGCTCTTTCAGTTTGAAAATACCCAGAAGGTCCAGGCTGCTCCTAAGAGTTCTGCAGCATTCCATAACTCTTGGATGAACTGACACATACACATTTTTTCTGCCTGCTCAGTGTTGAGAAAATTAAATCATTTACAACAGTGTTGCAAGATACAGAAAGATCCTGAGAAGCAAGGAAACCTTGCTTCAGCCTAAAATTTAGGAGCTGACTGCAAGGAGAAGGTTTTGGAAGGCTTTGCAGTAATTACATTAGTTTTTCTTTCTCACTAATGACTAAAAATCAAAATTCAGAAGTAGGTGTTGCAAGAAAGTAGGATCTGGTTTAGTGCCCTTCTAACAGCAAGCAGGAGGAGCCACAGCTGCTGCGTTACAAACAAGCAAATAAAACTGGAAGAAGGATTTTGTGTTTGGCAGTTAAACAGAATAATTCCTCAGGCAGAGCAGGCAAGAAACTCTACAGCCATTACCTGGCTTGTGTCCTGCTGTGATTGTTGTGGCTGTTAGCAGGAAGTGGCGTTTAGTGGCAGAACCCCACATTCCCAGGCAGGATGGGGCTGCTCTGGGATGCTGAGGCCTCTTTGTCTCATGCTTGGACTGCCTTGGAATAAATATGTAGCACCCCTGAGCTGTTTCCCACAGCAGCTGCTGTTACACTAGGAATCTCTGCTTTTGCCTGATACTTCTTTTGTTTAATTCACAAAAACAACAAATATTTTAAGAAAGCTGATCAGGACTGACCATGCATTATTTTTTCACTGTAGTTTACAGACAACTGGAGTTAAATTGTATGTTGTTAAAAATTATAGAGCCATGAATGAAAGTTACATTAAACGTTCTTTTAATTGAAGACAAACAAAAGAACCAAGGGCTCAAACACATTTTAAAAAGACATCTTCTGTTCCCCAATGCCTTCTCTCGAGCAAAATATACAGCACACACACACATATATATATATATATATATAACATAACTACATTCAAGTACCAAACAGAATTTACATTTTCCCACACAGAGAAAATAATGCACATGATTCACATACCTTAAACCCAACCATGCATAAAAACACTCCCAATAAATCAGGAGTTGAACATAATTCATCACACTACTGTGTATTATTCTGAAGTCTTGATGTCGTTGGAATGCATTAACACTTGGGAGTCTGGGTTTGTAATGTGTAACCCTGCTTTAAAGTCCAGCTGTTCAGAAACTTACTTGTTCAAGATCTGTTCAAATTTCGGGTTAATAAAAGAAAATCCATCAAATGCAGACTGATCCATGGATTCAATCAGGTTTTTGTCACTGTAAGACAATTTTGGCTTCTCACTCAGAAATTCTCTGTCGAAGTTGTTGTAGTCACTTGCTGATTTCTGTGTTAGAGGAAAGGCAGTTTGAGACAAACTTTGTATTTTCTTCCAGAACAGATTACTTAAATACAAAATGTTGGGAAGTTAGTCTTTTAGCTCCCCCCCCCTTTCTTTGCTTTAGAGAGAAAAAATATCTCATTTTAACAGGACTATAAGATTATAACTGGGCACTTCCTTATTGTTAGTTGGAAACCAATAGAAAAAGCAAACCGAGGTTGCTTTGGAGAAGAACCACCTGGATTTGGGATAACACTGGGTTATTACCCAAAGAGTATCTGTTGACAAAAGCAATGCAGCATTAACTTACACATCAGACCAACATTTCTTGCCATTAACCAAAATGTTTAAATTCCTGAGAACATTTTACAGGCTGTACTTGTTCAGAGAATAAAGGAATGCCCTATAGCAGCTGGTTTGTGTTTCATAAATATTCATGTAACTAGAAACTGTTTGACACTCTGAACCAAAGATTATGGTTTGTAGGAGCCTTATGTTTCCAGATTTCCCACTTTTCTGGGAACAAGCAACACAAAACCTTGTATGTTTGAAGGGACAACTCTCCTCCCTAGAATACATTTTAAAAAGATTCACCTGTTCTAGTAACAGGCTAGAGAAACACTGGTTTGGATTTTTTACCAGGTGAGCTGAAATCCCACTGTGATACAGACTGAGTTACATTCTGTTCTGTAGGTGTTTTTTCAGGTAACATCAGGCATGTACATTAATTCCAAGTTCAGCAACTTAGAGAATGCTGCTTCTTGCCCCTTTGGACATGCCTGGGTGAGTCTGAAGCAGCAGAGATTTAATGCTTGCACAGAGTCCCTGCAGTCAGGTACCAGCTGAGCAGCCTGGAGCTACTGCTGCTCCTCCCATGTGGCACTTCAGAAAAGCAAACTGCAAGGAACTGTGAACATTCTAATGCAGAGGGGAAGGGAGATCAAAGCTATCTGTTAGTTTTCCTGAACATTTTATTCATAAAGAAGCTCCTTGAGAGCAATGGGAAGACAGTCTTAACAAGATCATCTCAGGGCAGTCCAAGGAGTACAGTACACCTGTGTAGAAGTGAACGATCCCAGAACAATGAGCTTACAGATACTCTCTGGTTTGTAAAAAGTGAGGAGAAAATGGCAGTAGGATCCTTTGTGAGGTACAGAATCACCCCTTACCCTGGGCTGCTGTTATACCAAGAACAAAGAACAACCCACGTACCACTTTTGGCCTGAAGGGAGGGTCCACCTCCCTCTTCTCTAGCGCTGTCCAGTTGATTGTTTTGAAGAAAGGATGGTCTCTGATATTCCCAGTGACCCCAAGTCGTTTTGCTGGATCCCTTTCAAAGAGCTGCAAGAGAAGATAACCCAGCAAAGTGTTAGAGATGCTCCAAAGGTGCATGGCAATGGAATTACAGGTATGGTGCTGACAGTAAACAGAGCATTAGGAATTAATCTGACCTGGCTTTCCCTTTGTAAGATTAATTTACTGATAAACAGCTCCTTTTTTAAGAGATTTGTCTCTCCCTGCACAAAGACAGTACCAGGACCCCAAGCTGCCCATCAGTCCTACCTTTTCTAAGATATCCTTGGATTCCTTGGTAATCCAGCGTGGGTAGTGAGGGGTGTCCACTCGGATTGACTCAAACAGTTCATCTTCATCATCCCCATGGAAAGGGGACTGGCCAATGAGCATCTCATAGAGCAGCACCCCAAAGGACCACCAGTCCACGGAGAACGTGTACCGCAAACCCTGCAGGATCTTGGGCCACACGGGAGGGAACACAGGTGAGAGAGAAGCAGCAGCAATACAGCCCAAAAACCAGCAGGGGTATTTCAAGAGAGAATCTTTAATGACTAGAGCACTTAGGGGAAAAATAAAAATCCATCTCTCTGGGAAATTGTGGACACTGATGCAGAGCTGTGGTTTTACACTAGGCTGCTGTTTGTGGGAATGTGGCCAGCTCCATGGACAGGGCTTTGCTCTCATTCAGAAATTTTCTCCCTTAACTCTAAATAACCATGGGCTTAAAAAACATCCTCTGTAGTTTCTTTACAAGATGAAGGGAGAGGCAAAGTGGATTCCTACAGGAGTCTTTGACATAATTTATAGCTTTAAAAGCGAAATACCCTAGTTGAGCTGCTTTGCAAGTGAGATTTAAAGAAACCCTAAACTGTAACACACAGAATTAAACTCTGTGAGATTCCCCTTAAAAGCTCCTTTTGCTTTGAATTCTGGTTGTTTGCACAGGCACAAGTCTCTTCCCCATCTGCAATGCACATAGATTGATTCATTCTGCAGAAGCCTCATCATGGATGTGCTGGCTACACCTAACCCTCAGCTTTTAAAAACCTAAACATTTTAACTTTCCAAACCCACTTTTTAACTTACAGCTATAGAATATTTCAAAATCTCAAGTACCTTTTATAAAAAACATAGATACAGGTTTTTTTCCTCTGATTTTTACCTCTAATCAGACGTGGGCTTTTCTGAAGTATTAGTCTACACAGAGTGATTAATCCCAGCAGCTCTTGTGCCATCAGGGCACTAATCCATGGCAGCAGTGTCTGTCTGTGCCATACTCACCTCAGGAGCGATGTAGTCGGGGGTCCCACAGAAAGTGCTCGCCTTGTTGTCACCAACAACGTTTTCTTTGCACATCCCAAAATCAGCGATTTTGATGTGGCCTTCTTTATCAAGCATCACATTGTCCAGTTTTAGGTCTCTGCAAGAAGTGTTTTAAAAATGTTGTGCTATAAGTTGCTTTTGTAATCAGTTGCATGCAGTTTTTTCACTGATAAACACCTCCCCAACCACATACACAGAGGCTTTTCAAGAAAATCATCATCCATCAACACAATCCATCCCAAATGGTATTTTTGTGCTTTGAAGGCATGAGGGACAAGGAAAGAATTCTCTCTTGTCAAAGAAAGTAAGAGGCTGAGGTGCTTATGTAGAATGTGACCTTATAATCCTGCACATTCGCTTTCAGATGCAGATGCACAGCCAGAGCTTCTGTTGCTGCTGGAAGGCAATGTGAGTTAATGCCCCAGCAGCTGACACAGCAGTGCTGCACCAGCTCCAGGGCTCAAAAGAAAGATTGTGTTGGATTCTGAGAGCCTTTGGCAGGAATTTGATTGTCTGAAACCTGCCCAACTCTAACACTACCTGTGACTCGTTCCTGGTTACAGCACAAGTTCATGTATTGTGGCATGGCCTGTGAAGGGTTCTATTCATGTCTTTTCTCAGAAACATTATTCAACCAAGAAAGAGCTTTTTTTTTCTCAGCAGTTTCCAAAAACTACATTCCCTCCCTTTAACCATGCTGCATTTTTTGTCCATCTGGCTGCAAATGCACATACCAAGGAGGGCAGGCCGAAGAGAAACTGAACAGCCCTCTGCTTACCAAGGGCTGAAACAGAGCAGAGAATTTCACATAAGAACAGGGCAGTCTTTTCTCCTGGGTAACTGAAGTTCCCAGTACCAGCAGTGGATCAAGGTCTGGCCCTTGATGCTTCAACCTGGTGAGGCAGAAGCATCAATGCTGTGGTTTCACCAGAAGGCAAAAGCAGGGAACTTTCACCTTGGTGGTTTGCTCAAGGAGCCTCTCCCTCACCTCCACACTAAAGAGACTCGTGATTTGAAGGCAGTGCTTGAAAATAACTGAAACAAAACTGCTTTTGTGTGACACAAATCCCATTCCATCATTCCAGTTGCCAAGGAAAAAAACACAAATAGAGATTCTTCTCGGGCATGTTAATGGCCTTGGAACTACATCAGATCTCTGACAGACAGCTTGTACTTGTTACATCAGTCAGGAATTCAAAGATGCATGAAGTGCTAAGACAATTCCCAGATCCCAGCCTGGAGCTGGCTGGTACTTACCTATAAATAATGCCTTTGCTGTGAAGAAACTGGAGCCCACATACAATTTCAGCTCCATAAAACCTGGAAAGACCAAAATATCTTTTAATCTTTACTCAGTTACAACAGTCAATGCAGGCAGCCAAAATAATGCTGTCAGCTTCTTTTCATGGAGTGAGAAGCACTGTACACATCTTTAAATCCTAATATCTCTGTGTTTATGCAGCCAAATGCTGTAACCTGCAAGTTAATCCCTTCACCACACATCGGCAGTGTCCAACACCAAACAGCACAGGAGACAGCAGCAACTGCTGAAAGGCTTCATCCCACTTTCCTCAGGGAACACCATCCCTTTCCTCCTCTCTAATAACACTCTCTGGTGTGGTTTTAGTGACAGGCACATGCCTTTTGAAAGAGAGCTGCTGGGAGCTCAGCCCTCCAGGAGGGACTGGGCACCAGTGGCAAGGTTAGAATTGGGCCTCACCTGCCTCCCTCTGCACCTGCCTGGTCACAACAAACTGAAAAGTTCCATCACTTCAGGGGCACTCTCCTCAAAAAAAAAAAGAGGTGATAATCTAGGGGACATGAAGGAAAATCTGAAAGAATGCTTCTCTCTGCCCCAAAAAGCATAATTTTTTTTTAAATTGGAAAAATACAAAACTATTTCTATTTCTGTCTATCAGATGAATGTTGGTACAAAACAAATAGGCACAGAATATACCCAGAGAGTATGCACAGATGTTTGCTGAGATGGAGGTAAGCTGGAGGGGTTTTATCCACAGTTTTGCTGGGAAGAGTGGGAAGGAGGCTGACCTATACAAGTGGCTGCTGTTGATGCCAGACTTCTTGTCACAATCCCACCCAGTCAGCAATCCAAAGTGCAGTGCCAGTAACAGCAGGGATTTTCCTGGGGCTTACAGACAGGTCCAGTAGTCTGCACTGTTACTTTTTAAGGTTTACATGCCACCCCTTCAAGGATGCCATTAAAACACCCATGGGTTTGGAAGAGAGAAGTAGAAACTGACCTTAAACTAAAAATGATAGCTGAAGTAACAATAATACAATATTTTTGCATCCTTTAAAGATCACTAGAGCTGAAAACTTAAGTCACAGATAACTGACAAAAGTGCAAAACAAAGTGCTTATCCATTTAATTAGCATCTCATGGAATGCACAGGTTTTTGTACTATCGTATCAATTTAGCAATAGTAGTAAGTAAATGTTGAACTTTTCCTCCCATGCTATTTTCCAATTTTTTCCATCAGAATACTGTCCTAAAGTACACTGAAGCTGTGCTGGCTCATGTTGCAATTTATTTTGCAGCTCTAGGAACAAGCATCCCATGAAGTGCAACATCACACTGTTATGTAAATTAAGAAAGCCCAACTCCACACATCATTAAGTAAACTTCATTGTGTTCAACCAGTGCCTAGAAACATCTTTTCAACCATCAGCCACTGAAACTTGACTGCAAGTAAGGAGGGGCACAGGGGTTGAATCACTGATGGAGGTGGGCAGTGAAGGGCTGAGGACTCACGTTGCTCTGTAGAGGTCGAAGCGCCCTTTGTCTTGGATGTGGAACATCAGGTCTCCCCCATTCAGGAACTCCATAACGAAGAACAAATGATCCTTTTGCAGACAACCAGGGAATGGAACAATTACTGATGCTATCCAACCATAAATGAAATAAATGAAATGGCAATGTGCCTCCAGGGGACCAAGCAGACACTTCCCTCTTCTCCTGAAGGATTTTTGGTTTCATGCACCCCATGAGGCTCCTACACAGTTGAGTGGCCTGATCTTGTAAATATAAATATCTGATTCTGTGGGTTTCTAGACTTAATATACACTGAAACAGACTTACTGATTTCAATCTGTGACAGTCATCCTTTTCCACTCACCAAGGGTAAAACTCAGATCAAGGACTTAAATTAATTATCCCAGACTGCATAAATGTTTTTCTGATTTTTCCTTATCAAGATATGTTTGGTCATACTCATATTTACTTTCCATTAGGCCCATGAAGGCACAGAGCACAGGAAAAGGACATTTAATTCTTGCATCACTAAATTACTTTCATTTGACTGCTGGTATTAGCATCCATTAAAAGGCTCAATCTGTTGTGTTGCTTCACATTTAAATTTTTGTTACCTTTGTCTGAAACGTGCAGTAAAGATGTGTGAGAAATGGATTTTCCCAGGCAAGAGCCAGGACTCTCTTTTCCACCATGGTACACTCCACGTCATCATCAATTAGCACCACGTCCTTTTTCAGAGCTTTGATAGCAAAGAATTCATTCTTCCCTTTCAGCTCTGCAAGCAGAACCTACAAAAAATAAAAGATGAGAGTGCAGCAAGTGTAGGAAAGACTGGTGCTGATGTGCCAGTGAGGGAAAGCCAAAGGTGTTCATAACAGGTTCACTGACAATTAAAAAGCACATTTAAATGGGAAAGATGAGGGATTTTGGGAAGGGGAAGCTGCTGGACACAGATGAGGAGATGGGGCTCACAGGCACAGCAGTTTCTCTGTCAGTGCCTTGTGAGTGTATAAACAGCAGCCACGTGAAGCCTGCTCTGTCCCTGGAGCTGCAGTTGCAGAGACAGAGCCTGTGCAGGTCCCTCTGCTCTCCCAAACATCCCTGCACTGCACTGGGGCCGTGTGAGGCTGTTTGTGTGGGGAGGGAACAGAACTAAAACATCTCTTTGTACTGGGCACATTAAAGGGTGATTCCTCTGCCTCGATACTAAACACTGACAAACTGCTGTGCATGATGAATCACTTCTGCGTTTACACAAGATCCAGCTGAAGAATTTCTAGTGTCTTTGACAAAGATGTCTACATACAATTCTGGCAGAAGATTACTGACCCGAGGAGCTGTGAGACCTTTCTGGTTAAAGGAAACAGCCTTGCAGAGATCGAGCCAGGCATACACCTGCACTCTCCGTTTGTCACATACCTTTCCAAAGCTGCCTTTCCCCAGCACTTTGTGGAAGACAAAGCTGTCTATGTTGAATTTTCTCCTTGCAGTTCTCGGCACTGGCTTGGTTGTGTTTCCCTCCCAGAGCTTATCGTACTCGCTGTTATCTGCTGATCACAACAGGAAGGGGAAGGTTCAGTGGATGCAGGAACACGGCAGGGCTCAGAGGCTTGGCTAAGAATTAGGTTCTGACACACTATTTCAATGTATCTGCTGCTGATCCTAAACATAAGGGACAGGTCCTGTCTAAGCTTTTTATGTGGCCAGGAGATGGTAAAAAGAAATACATGCTGCTTTTTTAACAGCACTTATTTAAAAAATTGTCTAACACAAGGCAAGAATGAATAACTTCTTAAATTGTCTGGTAGGTAAGTGGCTGTATTGAAATATTGTTTCCTCACCTGTTGTGTCTCCTCCTGGAGCTTTATGTTTCTTATCAAAATCTTGATAAATACCAACACTTTCTACAGATCCAGAATCAGACCTTCGTGTAGATTTCTGGGGAGAAGGGGAACATTTGAAATTATATTAGCACTGTTACTGGAGAAATAGAGCAATAGCTTTAAATGTAATATGATGGCAGTGTAACCCTTTCTTTTTCATTATTAACTCCCAGTATGTATCTCTTCTCAAGAAGTCTGGTTCACAGACTATTTAGTCACCTTCTTTACAGCTTCACATCAGCTTTATTTGCTTTATTGCCTTCACTGCAAGAAAGTAAGTCACTGAAATTCCTGAACAGTCTATGTTCTATTGTTCATTGCAGAATTATTAAAGGTATCATGGTTTGAACCACAGTGCAAAGAATTTGAACTGTGGGAAAATGCTGTTCATGTGAAAGAGAAGATGGGAATCACTGATGTATTGGACATGCTGAAGTCATATCTGGATGTGACATCTGTCCTTAGCTCAGGGAATCAACTTTTACATTTGGAAGATCCCCGAGGTCAAATTTCACTAATGGAAAGATTGAGCTCTGTGTCATGAAAGAGTTACCACAAGAGCTCTCACTGTTTTCAAGTAAATATCCTGTGAAAGCTTAGCAATACACATCTTAGAGGAAGCACTGCTGGCTTTTGTGATATATTTTCCTGTTTTATTTTGGAGCTTGTGTCTGAATCTTTATTTGCAGAAGCTGACCACAAAAGAATCATGCTGCAGCAGTAGATGAAGAAGATGAACACAAACTATGGGGCCAGCATTAATTTCAGAGGGGTTTTCTGTGTGTTTATATATATATATATATTTATATCAGATGAATAAAAAAGGAGACTATTTAGTATATTTCTCCTTATTCAAGTAATTTTATCATTCAAATGGAATTTTAAAGTTGAAGCATGTAAAAACAGATTTCAGCATTATGATGCCACTGATTAATTCATTAAACAGAAAAGGACAATATAATCTTGGCACCCCAAAAGACCAAAACTGGATTTCAGGAAACCACACGCCTTTTAAAAAATTCTTTAATAGGCATAGCCCCTCCCCTATTTCAGTTTCAGGCTACTGATACCTTTGTTAGTCTCTGTAAGTGTCAAATTAAAAAAGACAAAGCTGTATGCATTTCCTCTTTTCTAAATACAGTTCCCCATAAAAATGATGCAGAAAAGATGATGTGAAAACTCCAAAATGCTCTGAAAACAAGTAATTACCTGAGAAATGGCAATAAAGCTTACCTGGCTAACTTGATTTAAAGCTTCAGCTAGCAACTTCTGGTTTATTCCACATAAGTTTGCCACCTTCTTCTGGCATTTATGATGCACATTCATCCCACACTCTAAAAGAAATGTAAGGATTGTTATACAAGCATCAGGAAAATACCAACATTACAATAAACAGGGCCATTCTGTGCAGTTCAGTAACCTTTTTTTAAAACCAGACTGGACATGGACATGTCATTGCTAGCAAAATTGCAGTTTTTATCCTTGAATACAATGAAGGCTAAAAAAAGGTTTCACAAGGAAGAAACTTCCAATCATCCTTTAGTCACAAAATCTGTGACAATAAGGATCATATTGCTTTTTTGTGGGAGAATTATAAAAGCAATATTTACAGAAATGCTTTGAACACACTTTGAAATGCTGTGTTGAGTCAGTCTCGAAATTTCAGCTATTCCCAGAGCAGTAATTTTGATAATGCTCAAGATTACACCTCTGCAGTGTCTCCTGACTCCTTGAGCAGCTCACCTTGGCTGAGCTGTCCCTGAGCCCAGTGTGCCTGTCCGGCTTTGGTACCTCACAGGCACCAGAGGAATCCCAACCTTACACGACTCACAGTGTGCCCCACCAGCAGTCTCCAGTGGAGGAACGCTGGAAAAGCACAGAGCTGCCAACTCCCTCCTCCTCCTCACCTTCACACTTGAGCCCTTGCCTGACCAGCCCCCAGAGCAGGCTGCCACAGTGGTCACAGAAGGTGGGGCTCATGTAGTTGTACACTCGGAAGCGGTGGGGCATGTCGATGTTGAATCGCTCCTTCTGGAACTGAGCACAGACACAGGGATCTCACCTCAGCACAGACACAGGGATTTCACCTCAGCACAGACACAGGGATTTCACCTCAGCACAGACACGGGGATCCCATCTCAGCACAGACACAGGGATTTCACCTCAGCACAGCCACAGGGATCCCATCTCAGCACAGGCACAGGGATCCCATCTCAGCACAGACACGGGGATCCCATCTCAGCACAGCCACGGGGATCCCATCTCAGCCTGGCTCCCTCACTCAGCAGGGAGATGGATCTGCCCAGCACACGGCACCCACCCCTCACACAGCTTTCAGCTGATTTCTTACTTGAAAACTTTGCCCACTGTGTGTTACAGAATTTTACACAACTTTAAACAAAGACAGAACCTTGGGCTGTACAGCCAAGCATCTCCCATATGGAGCTGTCAGCTTCTGTACAAGGTTTTGTTAGTTCAGTAATGTTTAATTACATAATTACACTCTAAATATATTGTTCCAGCTCTTACCATTGTGTCCCTGCTGTTGGCTGCAGTACCAGTACACCTCCCAATGATTTTATCAATGCATTTCTTATGAATAGCAGCATTGCATTCTTCAAGACATGCACAAGAAAAAAAAGGATTCCTTCAGATAATAAATACATGGGATGAGGTGCTTGCATTCAATGGCAGAATGTGAAAATCACACTCCTTTTGCATCATAGTGTATACATCAAAAGCTTATTTTCTATCAAAATAATAATCTAATTTAAACTGATTGCCCCACCCCTTTTCTTTTACCATAAACTTTATTTCTAAACTAAATCAGCAATGCCCGCAGCATTTGATAACAGAAGGACAATATGCTTTTGAGTTTTACCCTTTGATAGCTCCTCCCTGCTTGGAGTAGTGCACAGATCTATGCTAAGTAAAAGTGATTTTCAATTCATCTGTAAAACCCCTCAATAGTTGCAATTCACTTTAGAAAAAGTTTCACAAAAAACTGCTGTCATAAATGAGTGCAGCTTTTCAATTGCATTACACAATTCTGAGAAATATAGCTAAGTCTAAATCTTGATACACAAATCCCAGGTGGGAATCATAGTCAGATTCCTTTGGTTATTGTGTAAAATTGATATTTAACATCTACTATTACCCATAGTGATGATGCATTGTGCCATGCATATTTACAAATTTTTTTCAAGAGTAACTATTAGATCTCCAGATTCGTGTGGAAGGTAGCATAAGAAGAAAGTAAAAATAAAATAAAATTTAAAAAAAAATCAACTTACGTCTACATTTGTATCCCTGCTTGTTGAGTCCCCTGAAAAACAAGTTATAAAAAAGGAAATCAATACATTTTCTGGAATAAAAATGGCTTTTTATTTTATGGTTTTTATTTTATTTTTATAATATCAACCAATTAATAAGCTGGTCTAAATTCTGGTAATCAGAATCCTGTCTTAGGAAAGCAGGGTTTAAAAGATAAGGTCCTGTATTTGATAGACCTGCAAATTAGGAGGAAAGTCCAGAAACAACAAGGTTTCAATCACATGGGAAATCCTCTCAAGCTAACTTAGGACAAAACCAGCCTTACTATAAAAGGAATGCAATTTCTGCTTCTCTGTGAGTCTCTAGTCTGCCATCAGTCACTTCCCATCTCAAAGTCTGGCCATTATTTTCTCAGACCCACCCCTTTCATTCTCCTGTGACAGCTGCTGATGATCATGGCCAGATGCTGATGGAATTTCTGCCCATTATTTCAGTGGCAAAAATGTTCAAGCTCTATTTCTCATTGTGAAAGACAACTATAATTCTCAGGTATAAAAATGCTCTTAGTGAGTATACAACTTCAATTTCCCAACACAAATTTATTTGTCATGTTTTGTCTGAGTATATCCAAAGCAAATTTTGCAGTAATTTGGCCCTTGGAGCTGGGGGAAGCTTAGATTTTCTTTCTTACCATACAAAGTCTCTGCAGACAGAACAAAATGTAGGTTGTCCAAAGAAGGTGGCGATAAATTCATGATTTTTGATGTAGTGAATCTTGGCTTGCTTGATAGCTCCTCTCCTGTTGATAGTTACTGTCCCCTCCTCTTCCCTCATCGACTGTCTGCAGTCTGAGGGGGACACAAGAAGACACACTTTTAATACTTCTAGGTATTACAAAGATTAATATTTGCTTCTCCCAAATGTTCAGCTTGTCTTTCTGTTTCTGACTCGTGTTTCTGTTCATTTTACACCTGCACTCTGCAGCCTTTCAGTCCAACAGGGGTGGCACAGGTGCACACACTGCTTCCCAAATGTCCCTGTGCTCCTGTGCAAGCCCTTCCCACTCCTGCCCACACAGAAAAAGCCTTCAGCTGATGAACTGGGAGCAAAAAGCAGGGATGGGGTACAGTTTGGATAGAGCACTGACAACCATCATTGTTTCTCGGAAAAAAAAAAAAAATCTTTGATTTCTGTTACGTGATTTGTGTTTAATATGAATAAGTATTTCATTGGAAGCAGGAGGGTCAGCAGAAGCCCTTTCCATGCTGCTGCTCCACATGCCCTCCTGAGCCAGGACTAGAGCAGAAACTCAGATGAACTGCTGCAGGACCTTCTGGGTGACCACAGGACCATCCTGCTGAAGATGACTTTCTTCCAGCCTCCAGGACCATTAAGTTGCAAGGACAAATGAGATTTTCAGTTAGACATTTCCATTTTGCTGTTTCATAACATTCATGTTTTATCTTTCCACAAGTCTCAGTCTCATTCCTTTCCCCTTCTAGCCCCCATGGAGTCAGATTATTTACTATTATAAATACACTACCTGCTCCCATCTACTGCAGCATCTAATACTGGATCACATAGAAATCATGTGTAGCATTAAGCCAAGAAATTAAACAAACAAAATCTCAGGCTCCAAGTTCAACTGGCTCATACAGGTCCTCATCAGAGGTTATGGTTATTTTCACTCAATTCCAAGGAAGCTTCTGAGGTTCTTTTACAAATATGTGTATTTGTGGCTGTAAGACTGAGACACAAACTCAGACTATTTAGTCTTAATTAGGCATTTTTAAAGTCATAGGGGTTTGTAGCAGAGATAACCCAATGCAGGTGTATCAAGAGACTGGTAATTGGTGATTTAATCCAAGAACACTTTTCTTGTCAACTGGGAGGAGCTGTTGAGGGACAATCCCATCCAGCAGGAAAAGATAAAGGCTTGAGCTGGCAAAGAGGAGCTGATCAAGTGCTAACTCCATCAGCTCTGGCCAGCAGCTTGGGGGTCCCAGGCTGGAAGAAACGAGGACATGGTTCACACGTCCAAAGTGCTGTAAAGCTGAGGGCAACAGGATCTTGCTGTTTGCAGGCTGGGAATTTCCACAGCAATGGAGTAAGGAAAAAGAAGAGCATTTTCCCCATTGTCAATATAATAGCTTTTTAAAATTTGCTCCATTGCATCGCTGCCTTTCATCGTGATCAGTGGGAGCCTTGCTTTTAGCACTGACAGAAGCAGATTTGTTTCCTTTGCCAAGTCACACTCACTGCAATGCCTGAGCTTACTATGAAGTTACCCAGGAGCTCTGCTTTTCAGGCTGCTAGATGCACTTGGTTCTTGTCATTTTTTTTTTAGCTGGCTGCCCCCACTGCTTTATGAACAGACTGCTAACCTGGAATACAATCTGTCATGTGACACCATTCTAAGTGTCCCAAACTAATTTATCTGTCAGCCAGCAGCAGCCACACTGCAGCAGCATGTGCTGTCTTACAAAAGAAACAGCATCATCAGCTCAGAGATTAAGGAAAGATTAAGCATATTAGTGAAAAGAAAGTTCAAAAAAGGTCTCCAGGTTTTGCCACTAGGTAGTAATGTACTTTTCTGAGAAATTTTCCACTTGGTTGAGAGAAAAGTCCACCCTGACAGTCCCTGAAAGGACCTTCCAGTGTGCACTTTGACAGTCCCTGAGTTACCCCTGCCCCTCCAGGAACAGGATTTGTTTTCCTTGTTCAAACAGGCTGCTGAATTCATCCAACACAAACACATCAGCTGCTGCACTTCAGCTTGTGGCAGTCTGCAAACTGTGTTATCTCCTTGTTTAATCCTGCTGAGCAAACACACAGACCTCACCCACTGCTCCCCAATGCTTCAGGGAAACCACCCTTGTGTGGTGCAAGGGAAACAAGGTGCTTGAGAGGCAGCAATGCTTCATTTTGTCTGCTGCAGTAAAGGATGTCTTCACAAGGGAGATTTAATCAGTAACAAAGCAAAGAGAAAGAGCTTTTGCTTTATGGCAGTATTCTGAGGAGATCACCTGTGATGCAGACAAAAGCCTTTCCAAAGTCCATAACAAACAAACCAAGTGTTTCGTGAGGAACAAACACCTCATGCTAAAATACTTGGAGCAATTTAGCATTGCTGATACTGTGTGCAGACGTCTGACAAAACTGGATCAATTTATGGGAAACACTGGTGTTTCCTCCCTGTCTGACACCCTGATATCAAACTTCAGAGAAATACGTGAGACTGACACTTATTTCTTTGAGACGGTGGTTATATAAACTAATCACTATGGGTTTCTTTCCTTTTTTTTTTTTATTTTGCATATTTCCTTAAGTATACTTTAACTGGGAAGAACCCTCGAGCACAGCAAAACCTCAAAAACTGCATGTGAGGACACACAGACTTTACAACCAGCTGCCTTGTTAGATGCCTTTGCCAAAACCAACCAATATAACAAAGAATAGCTGCAAACATTTTTGTCTGGTTCAGAAGCAGCTGAGAGGTTTGGAGAGCAGCTGTGAGTCAAGTTTGTCTGGAGCTGAGGTGGCTCTGAAATTGTGATGTAATTTCAATTTACTGTGGGCATGTTTAATAAGTTATCTTTAATGTGTAAATTGCCTTTAATGTTTATTGCTCCAGAAAAGTTTTAAGCAGCTCAGCCAATCATAGAGTTAACTGGAGAATAAAAGCTTAATTTCAGAGATACAGAGACAATCAACGATTGCAGGGAAGTAACTTCCACAGCAACTGTATGGATGCAGGGTGGAGATGGGGGAGGTGGAGAAACACAAAGGGAAAAACTTTGCTTCCCCCTCCAAGCAAGCCAGGATTCCCATAAATGCAATGCTTGTCATGAACCAGCACATGGTCAGAAAGAGCATGTACAGAACAGCTGAATCAGCGACTAGGATCCAGTGACCTCTGCAGCCTGGACCTGACATTAATCAGTTTGGACCCAGCACACACCATTAAACATAATCCATTTCCTCTGCTGAGAGCTGTGGTTAATATTTATCACTGACACATTCATGTATTTCAAGGTCCCTTCTCAAACCTCGCAGCTGATGTGACACAAACCCCCAGAACTGCTCTGTGCTGTACACTCATGAAGACACCATGAAGCTGGGCTGTGAACTGACAGTGCAGCTCTCCACACTGCTGTAAAAATCCACCTGTATTCTCTGTTCAGCTGCTGGACATTTCCCCACAGCCACTAACACGACACCTAACCCACTGCCTGGAAAACATTTACTAAAATAAAATTGCTGGGGCTCTGCTGAGCTGTAATAAACCTCAAGGTGAGATGTCACATTGTCTCAATTGAACCTCAAAAGTCCAAGGACAAAAGAAAACAACCTCAGGATAACTCTACTAGTTTGTCTTAAAGAAACAATTGAAAAAAAATATTTACCATCTTCAGAGCTCATTTTTCATTTTAACCTGTTCATTTCATGGTGGTGTTAACAAAGAGGAAAGATAACAGTGTTACTATCAGAGACTGGGAACCAGGACTTCACTTCAAACAGGGACAGAAAAGGAATTTTCTGAGCTGGTTGCTCAAGCTGAGCTTTGCCTGAAACTTCATAATAAATTACAAATCCCACTAACATTTCTGTTCAGTGTCTCCTGCTGTTCTGCAGCCTTGCACTTGGCTTTGTTTGAAAGTTAAGTGCACCTTCAGGTTAAGAAAAATATTAATCTCTCAGAGCAATCATTAAAAGGGAAAGCTCGTTCCTGACAAAGGCGACTTTCCCACCATGAACTGTCTCAGAGGCAAACTGCTCTTTAACCTGGTCCTGGAGAATATTGCTTCAAAGATCACCTGTTGAAAACAGCCCCAACCCAACCAAACCCAAAAATTCTAAGAAACCATTTACAGAAGTAGAAGTTTCCCCAAAGCCTACAGTTCCGTGACATGAACTTGCTGTTAAATCGTTCTGGTCTTTGTGCTACCCCTCCATAAAGAGGATCACAGGGTGGGGTTGGAGCATTTAGTTGCACTGTCTGCCACAGGCAGGGATAACTTCCAGGTTGCCCCATCCAGCCTGGTCTTGAACAAATCAAGGATGAAGTCGTGCCCTGCCTCTGAGGCAGCACCTGCTGCTGCTCGGACAGGGGGCTGCTCTCAGCACTTCAGTAAATGCATGTATGGAACCTTTCCTGGGCATTACTGACACCAATGGCCTGGCAGGAAAGTGTGAAACAAAACACCAGCTTCAACAAGCCCTGCCTTTCAATCCAGGATGAAAAAACCCCAAAAGCAAACACACTCCAGCCTTTGCAGTGCTCGCAGGCAGCCAGAGCTGCAGGGTGAACACAGCCCGTGCTCAGCATACACAGCTCTTGTTTTACAGCTCTGTGCTTTGGTAAATGCTTCTGCACAGACCTCTGAGATCTCACTGGTGGTGATAGAACCAGGAATAACCTGGAAAGTAAGTCTTCCTTCTTTTTCAAATTACACAGTAAAACCAACCTTTACAGATACAACATCTCAAACTTCTACTGCAGGTACAAACTGTATCAGATTTCCTGTGCTCCACACAACACGTTGGCTACCTGGTGTCTCTGAAATCACTACAGCTGCAACTGTCTGATTCTTCTAGAGAAAAATCAGAATATAAAGCCTGCAGATATTTTTGTTAAATTCATACAATTGCACTTCCGGTGCAGATTAAAGCAGATGTGAGGTGCCACTGAATAACCTCCACACTAGCCAAATTTCTAGAAACAGCACTTTCTCAGTTAAATGATCAAATCATACCAACATCCCCAAGTAAAATTTTAAGGTTCAGTTCTGGCTCTTCAGCCTTCATCACTATTATTTATTAAAAATGTGACCATCCTTCCACAACACACCTCATCCATAGAGATACTTTTTTCAAATCTTACTTTAGGCCCATATAATGTAAGTCTGAAATGGCAAATTTGTTATTTACTCTATTATTTTTCACAGATAACTCAGAAAAATGCTGAAGTCTCATGCTTCCCCAAAACTCAACACACAGAGAACAAAATATTCAAAATATATGCAGCTCTGTGGTTCATATCCCTCTCCCAGAAGTCAGACACTTGAGATATCAAAAGTTCACATGTAAATTACTCACCTTCTGGTACTTCTAATGACATTTTAAAGAAAAAATTCACTGTCCCTTTCTGCAGGAAGCTGTAGCCAGCAAAACAGGAATTCAGAATTCCAACCCAAGACACAAGCACACTCCCAAGGCTGCTAACACTGGATGAGACACTCAGGAGAGTGAGGTTCTGCCTTTTCTTACTCGAGGAACTCATTAACCACATTTGAATAAACAAAGATCCAGCAAAGCATTAAACGTATTTCAACTCCCACCTATCAAAACTAAAGCTGCTTTACAGAATTATAACCTAGTTTCAATACTACAACGAGAGAAGGAGGAGTAGAAGGAAAACAATTTCAGAATTAAAATGGATGTTAGCACCCTGTATCTCACGTTTCACACACCAGGAGAAAAGCTTTTGAGTTTCCAGCACAAGCTCATATTCAAATCACAGGACAGAAGACAAAAAAGTTTTTTGACAGCTCTAAGTCAGGGCTCTGCTGTCCCCATTTTATAGGGTCTAGGAAGAAAAAGTTCTTTAAGATTGATAAGAGTTTTCATACGAAGCCCTAAATTAACTGGTCAGGCCTCAATCTGGAAAAAGAGTATTTAAATGAAAAGTCTCAGTGTACTCTACCATGGAAAAACCATTAATACCAGTTTATTTTGTGATTTTTTTTTTCTCTAAGAATATACCTGTTAATGGAGCAATAACATTCTTATGTCTGTGCTCTGCACCACTGCAGTAGAGGAAAGCAGTTTTCTCTAATGGTAGCAGAATGTTTGCAACTTAGAAGAAAGGTTTGAAAAACAGCAGCTTCAGTTTGCAAAACAAGCCAAAGAAAGAATTAGTCACTTTTGTGAAGTGTTTGGAGATTTTCAAACAAAAGGTAGCACCTATACTCAAAGATACAAATGGCAGCAATACCTTTGAATAAACCAGGGAATAACTGAAATACCAGTTTCAGAACAGGCCTTTTTTAGCATTTTAGAAACACAGCTACCATAGAGTTCTGTATGCAAAGGCAGGTCAGAGGGAGAACAAAATGACAAGTGCATGGGAAGGAATGTGAACTGTGTGAGCTTTCAGCAATGTGGGGAATGGAGGTTTGCACAAACATCCTTGCAATGCACCAGCAAACCTCTCTGCTCTCACACTGCTAAGTGCTGATTTAATTGCAGAGAACATTTACAGCAGTGCAGTGATGAGCCAAAAATCAGTGCTTGCCTATTTAGCAGCATTACACACTGACATAAGGGAGGTTTACAACCTTGAGGAGGAGTAGTTTGTTAAAATGTATTGATATTTGTGGTGTTCACATTAAAATATCAGATTGAGTGACTTTCCTTCAAAAAATTTAAATGTATAAATGTCTTGAAAGGCAATTGCCACCACCTCTGTGGTTTAGTTACCAAAAATGTATCAGTGACTAATTTCATATAAAGCAGAAGGTAAATAGGAAGTCATTGCAAAGAAAAGGTCAAAAAAGTGCATTAAGATGTGAATATTAACTTGCCAATTAGAATATAAATGCATGACTTAATAATCTGTGTGGTATTTAGGATTCATCCACCACCATCTGCAATCCCTAATAAAGGCAATGAAAATAACTGCAAGAACATTGTATCTATTTTAAAATTATTTTGATTACTGAGTAAAATTAATTTAGTACTTTCAGCACACAAGTATATTACCTGCCTACTAACAGCTAATAATAAATGGTGGAAGCTTTTCACTTATGCCATCTCCACTTTTCCACATGGAGAGGAGGGGATATGCTTCAGTCTCATTAAATAAAAAACTAAAAATACAGAAACTGGGTTTGTGCAGGTTTGCTTGAGAAACTTCTGGGTGTCCATGAGAAATGGATTTCTGTATATCTCATTAAATATGTATGATCATAGTACCATTGCCCCATGAGACAGCCTTGCACAGGAAACTATGACTAAGACAAATATTTTCTAATATAATGGCTCACACCAGTTTAAATGCAAACCTGAGAAAAGCTCTCACAGACTCTTTAGAGAGTCACAATATTTTTAAAAATTTTGCTTTAAAGTGTTGACTTCACAGACACCAAAGCAACAAGGATATAGGCTGGGTATTTTGTGATCACAAAGATAAAACATCACCTCTGAAATGTAACCTATGCACATCACATTCTATCTTCAGTATCTTCTGCACAGATGGTACAAAAAAGTATGGTACCTTCACCATGAGCTTGTTCTAGAGAGCAGAACTGTGCTCCTTCTATAAATGTCTGGGGGGAAAAAAACCCACCCATGCTTCAAAACATCCTGCTTAGTCTTTTTACTTATTTATAAACACATACTATTAAACCTTATTAGGCTGGTAGGCTAATCTGGCAGACCAGTTATATTATAGTTACAACATTATTCCCAAGAAATAACGGTGTCATGACTTCTAGTATGGGAAAGTCTTAACTACAAGCTAAGCAAGTTGTGAGGTTTATAGCATTTCCTTTAGGAAAGGACTCCCAAATACACAAATCCAAGCCAAAATTCTTGGGTTTATTATTGTACTTGAAGCTTCCCTCCTAGCTCATTCCCAAAGAGCCTGTGTAGGTTTCTGACACTCACAGGCTGTTCACTTTTTAAACTGGTACATCAGATCATTGACTAGATTTGCATTTCAACACTAAACCATTCACTCATTCCTACAATCAGTCTCTGTAATTAGTGAATGGGATGTCTGAATCCCAGGAAACTCAGACCCACTTTTGCAATCCACAAAAAAAGTTTCTCACATAAGCTAGAGCAAGAGATTCAACTTCTTTGCACCTAAAAAAAGACAGATAATATACTTTCTATCACATCAAAACATGAGAACGGACATATTAAAGATCCAAAAGTACCTAAATGCAACAGCATTTAGAAATGAACAAATCCTGCCATGAGTCCATATAACAACAACAACAACAAAAAAAAAAAAACAAACCCCAAACATACATCTAGAGATCAAAGTAATAAAATTAATTAATAAGATGCTACTCAGTACACCAAGAGATTTTTTTTTTGTAAGCTACATCCTGTGTTCTGCAAAAAACCCGTTTTTTCATATAACTGACTGAAAATAACCTACTGACATTACCTGAATCTTCCAAAAAATACTGCACAGCCATCAGCACCTTCCCCTGAGGCTGAAGGTCAAGCTGTGGAAAGAAAGATAGCAACAGTGAAGTGGTTGACTGCATCTCTCAGGAATTTAAACAGCTATTTCTAGGGTATTAAAGCAGACTATTCAATAACTATTTGATTACAATCCTCTTCCATATCTCACTATCACAGCTGAGTCAGGGGCTTTTATTCTCTTGCTTTTACTCGTGTGCTGCATTGCTTTGATGTGTCCCCAGGAGTTCAGCATGGTCAGAGTTCACATTGTTTGTCCATGTCCCTTTCCCGTGTCTGCAAAGAACTTTGTTGGCTTCTGTTTTTACTGTAAGTAAACTCAATCTGCACAGGAACTCAGTTTTGAAAGAAGTCTATACAATCCTTTATGTGTTTATTGAGAGCATGAACCACAGTGATATCAAATGCTGCTGCTGGCAATGAAATAAAGTGGTATAATCAAAATTTGTTTTCCTTTCCTCCTCAAAACCATTACACATGGTTTCTGTGGCAAATTCTACAGACCAGCAAAAAAAAAAAAAAAAGTGCCTTTTAAGCCAACAGCTGAGGTCAGTTCCTGTGCTCAGAAAGTAGCCACTAATTCTTAAATTGCTGCCTTCATAAAAGATAAGAAACTCTTAACCACGTAAGAGTGAGTCAATTTTCACTTCAGCACAAAGTACCCCTGGGTTACACTAAATACAGACTGGGATGAACAATCCAGTCCCCAGACAAAATCTAAGCACAGTTACATTAGGTACACCCACGAACATATCCCCACAAATCCCATCATCCTACTGGGATAATGAGTGGGTCCATCTCTAAGGCAGTGTCTGACACTCAGAACATTTGCCCAGCAAAGTGCACAGAAGGCCAAGACCTCAGTTACAGCTGATAATGCCAGGCTGTCTCTCCACACACAAAAATAACCCCACAGGCTTTGCTGGCCATGATGCTCTAACTCATGACAGGTTGTACACAAAGTTTAACACTGAGGATGTCAATGTGGTACCTGTTCTGTGGATAACAAGCACAGGATTTGAGATCACTGAACTGGCTAAAACTGATCACTATTAGCTTTTACTCTTCTGAATAATTGTTCTTGACTTAGAAATCAAGTTAAGGTGTGAAAAAAAGCCCGATGTGTAACAGATGAATACAAACTAGAGAGTTTCTACTGACCCAAGAAAATCTGTAAGCCTAAAAGGCACAAGGCATTCATTCAGTTTGAAAGAAACAAAACTAGGTCAGCAATTTTGAGGAATTAATCTTTTTCCTTACCCAGAACTCTGCTTTGCCATTGCCTTTCTTGCACCGTTCTGCCAGCACTGACACCCCCACAGTCACTTCAGACAGAGGCTCCTCTGCTGCTTTCATCAGCACAATCTGGATCACCCGGCCCTCGTAAATGTGGGCATCAAAAGTCGATTTCCATTCGGGATACATAGTGGGTTTCTTCTGAATCAGAGTTTTTCCTCTCTCTGAAAGCCACAAAAAAAAAAAAAAAAAAAAAAAAAAAAAAAAAAAAAAAAAAAAAAAAAAAAAAAGAGAACAGAAATTAAAATGTATATAGGTCTAGTATTTAAACTCAACAAAGTAAAAGAGGGAATACTTATACTGAAACTAAAAGCAGACTTAATGCTTTTTTTTTACTGTTGCTGGAACAAGGTTTAAATACTCAGTTCAAAAATTCATGACTTGGAAGGCAAAGCCCACGCTGATGAATATGCAAAAGCAGTGAAGGGGTTAACATGGAGCCAGAGAGCAGGAGGGACAAAGCCCAGTGTGGGATTCATAAGCTGCTTTAGTCAGTCACAACTTGACAGGAACACTTGCATGGCTCCATTCTGGTATAAATCTCCATGAAGTGTCATCTGATCATCGTGATTACCTACTGCTATAAGATAAATTAAGATCAACCCCACACTGACCCAGTTTAAATTGAAAGCAGTGTCTGAGAGATGAAAGGTTTCACATTTCATTAATCTACTTCCAAGTTATCACAATATTTCACTTGCATTCATAAGTCACTCTCCTTGGCATTGTACTCTACCACGACTGCTACTTTTTAAAGGTTATTTCAGGGCCTTATCTGTCTTCTGTAGTACATGCAGACCTTGTGTAGTTAAAGAATAACAAAAAAGCTAAAATTACCTCAAAAAATGTCCTTTTCCCCTCTTCTTTTTTCTTTGGTATCCTTTAAGAGCATCTCAGCACACTCCTTTGTTAGGAGTTTTACAATGCTTCACTACTCTTATTAGACAGATTTTTTTTTTCCTTTTTGCCAAGAAAGGCTGGATAATTCTTGAAGTCCCTTCCAGCCTGGTATTCTATGACTCTAACACACAGCTTCAGTCTCTCTTGCTACCCATTAAACTGATTTCTTCCTGTCCATGTCTCAGGCACAGAAAACAGCCAGTGACTGCACAATCTATGACAAGCTTTGGCAAATTTTTAAATCTGGGTCTCTAAGTCCCATCAACACATCCAAAGTGATGGTGCCTCCTAAGAAACCACACCCAGCTCTTCACTGTGACTCTGGCACACAGTGCCACCTCTCAGTTTTCCTCTGATTTGCTGCCAAGCCAATTGTTTTCCAATTGTTTTCCAATTTTCCAAGCCAATTGTTTTGTGCCCAATACAATTTTCTACATTCTACACAATTTCTTCTATATATTAAGACTTTTTTTTTTTTGCAATGGAAATGCTTTCTAAGTGTCTCTCCAGCTCTGAATGATCCATTTGCTGTTATGATATCAAGGCAGTAGTAAAGCAGATTAAATAGCAGGACCCATCCCCAGAAGGCTGCAGCATGGTCTGTTAGATACTGAATATTTTAAAATCTTCCTGGAAACTCAAGGCAAAGTCGGTGTGCATTCATTAGGAGCTTGCTGGATGCACTCCACTCAGCTGGGCTGAGCTCTGCAGACACACACAGGGAATGGTGTCCTTGCACTGCTTTATTAGGGAATGCCTGCCAGCAGCAGCACTGGGAGTTACAGCTTGGACACAGCCTTGAGCCACGTGCCAAAGGACATTCCAAAACGCTCAGAAATGGCCACCTGAGGACCTCTCCATGGCAAACCAAACTGAGCATTCCTCTTCTACTCAGTCAGCAGCTTTTCTCTTCAATGTGGAGAACTCTGCAGACAGAAAACTCAAGACCTTCACAGTGCAAACCTACTTCCAGAGCCCTGTTCTATGAAAAAACTTGAAAATATTGTCACAGAATCACTGAATAGTTTAGGCTGAAAAAGGCCTTTAAGATCATCAATTCCAACCACCAACCCAACACTATCATTAAATCATGTCCCCAAGTGCCACATCTACACATTTATGTAGAGATTATTTGGAAAGACAATAAAGGAAAGGAGGGGGATAAAAACCAGGCTGTCTTCACAGCAAGTCTTTTTGGATTTGCTTTTTGGATTGCTAAAGTCAGACTCCTTCATCAAAAAGGCACAATTCTGGGGGCATCCTTGACAATAGGAGAAACTGCATATTTGCAGAACCTCTGACAGTAATTTAGGGTTTGCAGAACAGCAGCAATTTGTAAGGAGTTGGTAATACTCTTTATAAGATTCTTAGAAGGGGAATGAGTAATTCCAGTGTGGCCACAGCCTCTCCCCTCCCAATTCCCATGTCCCAGTTGATATCTGCTTTGATCAGTCAACTCTGTACATTTTTACCCTACATAAAACATAAAGAAGGTGTCTCAGCTACTGGAAACAGCTTCCAGCCATGCTGCTTTTGTAATAAAATCATACTAATCAAGATTTGTCATGGATCACAATCTCTGTCTGCAAATGAACACTGAAGGGTCAGCAGAGAACAGCCCTCAGGAGCACTGTTCCTGCCTCTGCTGTGTTCAGGCCTCCTTGGCTTCTCTGCTCACACTCCTGACCTCAAAACACATCACATGTTTGCAAACTGCCTCAATGCCTAATCATTAGGCTCTATGATTTTCTTCTTCCTATACAATAAATTTTCCCTTGATTGTGTTTCAGCCTTCAAATCCAACAAAAAGCTGTTCCAGATCTTGCCAAACTGACAACAGGAACACCAGACTATTTTCCTGATGACTCCAATCACTCACCTCTCCAAGCAGTTTCCTCTCCTCCCTTTTTCAGTACATCAAAGACATGGAAAGCAAAGACTGGGAAATATTGGGACAATTCTACTTTTCAAAAGCAAATGGCTGAAAAAAACCCAGTGGATTTATTTAGATTATTTTAATTCCTCCACATATTCTGGCAGCTGCAACACCTTCAACACCATTTCTTCAGAGGATCTTCCAGCAGACTAAGAAACTACTTCTTTGGAGCTTAGTACATTTGTTGGATGACGACACTTTCTGGAAAAGGCACCATGCTTTATTTCAAGTTTCAATGCAGCTTTTACCCTCAGCAATAAGAGAGAAGACCAATCATATTGTGAGGAAGAATAAACTTCACCCTTTTCTGCACTCTTTGATGTCTTGTGAATCTCTAGAGCCATAATGCAGGACTAGAGCTGCAGTCTAGCCCAATACAGCAATCCCCTCTCATCCTGTTTGGCTGCAGTGGTGTATTCTAGCCAAATTTCAGAAAATGTAATAAACCTTTGGACCAGTTTCTGTAAAGATGAGGTCTTTGAAGGCTGAGGGCCTGCTGAGTCACTTGGTCTGTTCAGCTGGAGAAGACTGAGGACAGACCTCAGTGCAGTCACAGCTTCCTTGTGAGGGGAAGAACAGGGGCAGGCACTGATCTCTGCTCTGTGGTGACAGTGACAGGACCCGAGGGAATGGCCTCAGGTTGTGTCAGGGCAGGTTTAGGCTGGATATTAGAAAAAGGTTCCTCCTAGAGGGTGGTGGGGCACTGAGCAGGCTCCCCAGGGAATGGTCCCAGCCCCGAGGCTGGCAGAGCTCCAGGAGCATTTGGACAGCTCTCAGGGGCAGGGTGTGACTTTTGGGGATGGTCAGGGCCAGGAGTTGGACTCAGTGATCATTGAGGGTCCCTTCTAGCACAGCTTATTCTGTGTTTCTGTGCTAAGAGGACTTTCAGTGTGAGTAATTTCAAGCAAAAAATTCAGCCAAAATTCCTCAGTTACTACAATAGTAACAAACTGCACCTCTCATCACTACCCATCCTCCAAGCCAATAAAGAGCATTTGCTGCTCTGTACTTGAGGACAGTTCTCTCAGCTGCTGCAGTCCAGCTTCCTGCCCTGCATTCTTAAAGAAAGAAGCCTTGCTTTAAGGTGGGGGTAGAGAAAACAGCCATTATTATTACTCCCATTCCAAAAGAAAAGCTCACATTGAAGTGCTTGGCATGACAGAAAGAGAAGGACTCACTGCCATTCACAGATTAAGGAGGATTACAGTATTTCTCAAAAATTTACTGATATTCAGAAAAGCATCCCCATTTGTAACCTCACCTGTAGTCAGAGCTTCCTTCATCTTGATAGCACAGAAAGGCTGTAATTGTTCTCCTTGATTCTGCACAGGTCCCAGCTCAAAGGAGTTGAAAGATATCCGTAAAAAGGGGGCCATTGCTCAGGATGATACACAGCCTACGTGGAAAGAAAGAAATAAAAATCACAGAGTAAAACACCTGGTCTGAGATATATAATAAAGTGACACATTTCTCAGCAGCCATCAGAGCTTCTGTTGAAGCTACAATCACATGGCTTCTATTCCTGTGTTGCTTTCAGGTGGCAGTTCACAAGTCCTAGGAAGCATCCAGAGCTAGTGATCCAACCTGTGAGCCTCTAAACCTAAACATGCCAGGCAAAGAGAGGAGAGACAGGTAGAAAGAGCTCCAGAGCTATTGTGTCACTCATTTTAAAGTGTCAGGAATTACAAGAATTCAAAACACCTGTAATTTCTGGATCAGCAAACAGGTCTTCCCCTGTTCTTAAGAGCTCTTGAATTTAGAGCAGATTTCAGTTTACAATTCACAGCAATGGAGTTTGTCCTATATGTCACATTGTTTTGTGACACAAAAAGGATTTATTCAAAGGCTAAGAGAAAAGAGTCATTTGAAAGAAAAGCAATGCTAGTGCATTTGGAGAATGAGGGATGCAAGGAAGGAGGGATTAGGAGGAAAGAGATAACAAGGTAACAGGAAGAGATGGTGGAAAAAAATTAAGACTTGAAACTGGGCCGAGCTGGCCTTTTGACTGTAGATTGTCAACCAGCTCAGTCAAGCAGCACTAGGAAGAACATTTCAAGCAATCTTGCACATGCTGGCATTTTTTAAAGACATTGACCTGAGAAACAATTAACATTTTGCTTTTATCTCTTAAGGCCCTTACAGTCATTTAGATAAAAGACTGAAATCAAGTCTCTGCAGCAAGACAGCATATAGCTCCTGACAGCATCATTAGCACATCTCACACTCTCCCCATGTGGGGACCATTTTCAATAAATGGAAAAATTTTATGACTAACTTTTATTGAGCTAGGGTTTTTTTAACTGTTTCCCCACTTTCTTTCTGTAGAGTAAAACAAGAGTTAGAAAGCAAGTTTAGGATTACTTGGCACCACTGCTCATCTCCCTGAAGAACAGAAAGCCATGACTATAATTCTCATTCACACAGACTCATAATAAAGCAATAACCCTCCCACACTAATCCACTGCTTATTGCAGCTTGGAGCACCATTTGATGAGAGTGGAGATTGAGGTGACCTCACAAAGAAAGAAAAATAGACAGCTTTTGTAAAAATTAACAAACACCATCTGACAGCTCACTTTCACAAACACAACTTAAGCACAATGCTCATCAAGAGTTTTAATGAGGAACATATTTTAGCTGCTCAAGACACCCTGTGCTCACTATGTTCAGAACTACACCCCAGTGAGCAGCTACAGGACTTGCCAACAGGAGATCACATAGCATTACTACTCAACATGGAGGTAAAAGAAACCAGATTTCAGCCTTGTTCACTTCTGGGAAACAGCTCTAAGACTCAGTGAGGCCATAGGTAGAAACAAGCTGGGCTGGTCAATGTGTAGCTCCCAATGGAAGGTTTATTTAACAGAATCACAGGAGAATTCTGCTGTAAGGGACAGCCCAGCAAGAAATCACAATTTCCAGTAAGCCTGTGACTTTATGAACAAAATATTGGAAAGCACTGACAAAGCTAAACTAACAATTGCACTGATTTCACTCAGCCCATGTGACTCAAGCCACTGTTAGTCCTGAGACAGAATACAAGGATTTACAACTTAGTTTTTTATCTCCAAGTTAGCAGATACAATAAGAACAGGTACAGTGCATACATGTTTTGAGTAATCCCACACTTTCTCATTTCCAATGGCCAAATACATTTGAATGCCATATTTTCACCTCTGCTTCATAGTTTTAAATGTGGTTATTTGTTGTAGCTTCACTGTACTCAGCTTCAGTGCATCTCCAATGCTCGCTTCTTACCCAGAAATGCTACACACAAGGAATTCAGCAGGTAGGAGAAAACACCAATATCCCAGCGTTTTTTACAATATTCAAAGTCCATGGTCACAGTGGAAACCAGAAGATAACTGTTTGCTTTTACATTTAACAACAGCTTTAAAAGAGCCCAAACAAACTCAGCAGCTGCCTGGTCTTGCCAAGTTTCTCCACTCCTACACATTATGCTTTTGTTACAGAAGTAGAGATCTTAAATGCCTGCATGCAAACTCTTCACTATATGTTGTAGACTAGATTGTGACAGAGAAAGGTTAAGCGAGAAAGGAGGGTTTGGATTTGCTCCTCCAATACATTTTGTGATCCTTTCCTCTGCTAAGATGTACTGTGAGATAGTTGACAAGTATCAGCTGCACTGCTGTAAACAAATACACACCCTACTAAAACTGTTTTTGGCAGTGAAACTCAGTGAAAGAGATTAATTTGAAATCAACAGAGGTTCTCAAAATCCCTGCTGAGTACACTCATGCAAGAACACATTTGAGAAGGAAAGACACTGAAAGCAGCACACAGGCTTTGCTTGCTGCATTTTAGACGAGACTCCACCTCCAGTCTCTGAGAGTGTTGCAGAAGTGACAGCACGAGTGCTGACTCTTGTTTTAAGGGCTGTATCTGTCAAGAACTGAAACTTCTGCAAAACACCAGCTTTGAATTGAAAGATACTGTAAAATCTACTCATATAATCTGCATTGCAGCTATGAAGTATTAAAGCCAAACTGTTTTCCCTAAAGGGCAAGATTTTATCCAAACCAAATGGTGGAAAAACTGAGATGTGAGCTCCAAGAATACTCCAAGTCTAAATGACAGGTTCAATATCTCAAACAGTTTCAAAGTCAAAGTACAATCTGAACAAGCAAACAAACAAAAAAAAACCTAAAGGAAAAACATTCCAGTAAAATTACTCTATGAAGTACCTGGTGGTGGCCACAGTGGTTTAGAGCACACCATCAGATGTGTCCTGCACAACATTCATTTTGTCAAGGATCCCTGACCTCTAATGCAAACTAAACCCATGTTCTGTTATCTGGGACAGATTCTGCAAAATCCACAGTACTTTCCATGGAGCTTTAAAATTGAGAGGTTTTGATTATTTAATATGGAAAGAAAATCAACAGTGTTATTATCAACTACAGAGAGAGAGGGGGAAAACTGGAAACATCTTCACATCGTCAATGTCAACACCTGCCAGATGAACAAATGTTCAATTTTCACACTGATGTGTTTGTAACATGTGGTTTTAAAGAAAGCAAATTAAAATCTTCTATGTTCCAAGGAAAATTTTATCAAAATTTGCTGGCACAGAATTCAGAGTAGATTAAAAACCTTCTCCACAGAAACCAAAGGGACAAAGGGTAAATTCTGCAGCTTCTCTCCTTCCAGCAGTGCCCAGCTCTCATGAGCTGGCAGCAAAATCCAGGGTTCCTTTGTGGCTGTAATTCTGCCTCCTTATAAACAGTGAGGACAAGCCAGCCCTAGCACAGTCCAGAAACAAAGACATGGCTGTAACTTTTACACAAAAGCAGGAAGGCACATCTAAACACTGGATGATCTGGAGGAAACACTGACACTGGCTGACAACAGAGCACTGAAGAGACTAAAAACCAATGGGCCCAAACAGAGCCAGGCTGTTCCATCACTGATAAGGACCATATATCCAGGAGAAAGACAAGAAAACTCCCCTGCTGGTTTGTTCTCTGATTTCCTTGTATTAGTGAGTGAAACATTGTGCAGGTGGCTGTAGAGCTGCAGCACATCAGGGCTGTTCCATGCTGTCACACAGAACTGCTCTGGGTGCCATGAGATGCCTGATTCCTGCTTTGCTCCTTGCTGAGGCTCTGGGAATCACCAACCACACACACACAACCAATGCATCCTTCCCTGGAAAGATGAAGCAGTAACTTTTTCTTAAGATGCAAAAATATACATTATATCCAACCTTTTTTATACAAGGGTTTCCTCTCCTCTATTCTGGCAACAGAAAGAAAGACAACAACAAATTACTGTCCAACTTTTTGCCCCCACAGCACTTCCAAACACACAAACAGGGCTCTCTGTGTCTTTGTGCACAGCCTGCAAAGGTGATTTTTGCTGCTTGCATGGCAGTCATATAAGAAAGCCTCAAATAAAAATGCTGGAAGAGGGATTAACATCCTTCAGCTGTGCAGACTGTGTGTTTTTATTGCTCCCAACCCACACTCCCTGCACTTGAACCCTTTCAGCTGATGATCTGAGAGAGAAAAGCAGTATCTGTGCTGTAGGACAGTTTACTGAACCAAAGGAATATGGTGCTAACCACTCTCTACATTGCACACCTAGGATGAGTCTACAGAGAATACCTGCAGGTTCTGTTGCAAGCCCTGGCCTTTATTTGATGCTCTGTAGATAAAAGTCAATCTAAAAATGAAGACAGTTTACACGAGGCTTATTATGTTTGCTGTTATGAACCCTGTCAAAAAGATACACAGCAGTGGCCTTTATCAGCTGGACTTCCCTAGGCACTACTGCTACCCAAATAAACCATAAAAACCATATCCAAACTCAAAGCACTTTACACTGCTGAACACTCACAGCCACCAGGGGTAGCAAAACATCCCATTATCATCAGGTGCTGCTCTGAAAGCTTAAAATCCACAAGGGGCTTAACAAGTGTTCTCCACAAAACAGGGCTAAATTGACACATTGCATGTAGGTCCCTGCAAAAAAAAAAAAAAAAAAGGATAATTCTCCAAAAATACTGCCCCTGGAGCAGCATCACTTGTGCTTTTACTTAGGTTTAACCATTTGTCATTTAGGTTTAGCCATTAAGGTACAGGTATCTCCTATGAATGGTTTAATTTAGAAGTTAGAATTGTGGAACTATACTCATGAAAGCAAAATATATGCATGCGGTGATATTTAATAAATACAGTTATCTTCAGAAAGACAAGGATAAAAAGAGCACTTTTAAAATGGCCCAACAGCCCAATCAAGTAGAATTTCTGCAGTAACAGTTCTAAAACAGTGTATCTTCATAAAATGTTTTTAAATAATTACACAACTTTATGAAAAGTAAGAAAAGACAACAAAAAATTTAGCTCACACTTTACTTCCTGTTAAACTTACTGC